TTTTTTTTCAGATCCCCCTTGTTTTATTTTATTTGGATTTTAGACAAAGTTGAACTTTTTGGTGGTTAACATTTTTGTACATGTATGTAAAGTGTGTTTTATAAATCTACTTCTTGGTACATCCATCTTCGGCTTGGTAACTTCACTTTACTAAGCTGTCGTTTAAATATGTCTAAACTAAAGAACATTGGACTCATCTTTATTGTATTCTATGATTTGCCTACTAAAAGATATCTTTACTATATCTTTTCGTGTACATCTGCAGATGTACACGAAAAGAAGAAAAAATCTTTAAAAAAAAATATATATATATTAATATCTATATGGGATGTAGGGCACATCAACATACTGTCTGAATTGACGCTATTCAAGTAGGATTCATCTCCACACAGCACACGCAAAGATATTACGATGACAAGCAATAGATGCCTTAATACCTATCCAGGATTCCAAAGATATTTCACATTTCCTACATGAGAGATTCCTACCTCAAAGTAAAGGAACTAAGCGTGAGTAAAATTAATAAAGTCTCTCAAGAGGAGCTAATCAATTGGTACCGATATAATTTAATTCTACAAAATTTAGAAATACACGATTTCATTCATGTAAACCTTGCCAAGACGAGAACATGTGGCTCGCACTGTTAAAAATGTTATCAGAACTCATGTACAGCCAAGTTTCTATCTCTACACGCCCTAATTCTACAAGCCCTAACTTCACAAACTCTACACCTTAGTTAAAATATGTGACTTGGCCGTTTTGTTGCTACAAGAACTATTGTACCTATAATAGAAAAGTAATGAACAGTGAATAATTTATTCACTTTACGCCCATGTGACGATAAAATACCATTTTTTTAAAGTTGTCTATGGTCAGGTGAGCAGTGTGGTCAACCACACTGCTCACCTGACCTACTAACATTCGTTACACTACTGAACGCTGTGTTTTGCTTGTAAACGCCACGCTATTCCTACTGACGTAATACAAGTGACACGGCACTTCAAAAGTAATCTTACTTTGTTGTAGTGTTATCTTGTATTTCTGCAGCGCATAGGCGATTCTCCCATTGGGTTACGATTCAATCACATTTAACCTTTCGGCACGACTTGTGCCTATTATCTGACTGGTCAATGCTACGCCGACTCACTTATCAAGTATGCGAAGAACTATTAAAATTTAGTTTGACGTTTTATTTATGTTGTAGGGATTTCGAATATACGACTAAAAACCTTTGGGATTGCTGGCCTGGCAATGTCTCTTAATTTAAGAGCCAAGCCCTTGTCGGCGGAGCAATCGCACCTCCCCTCTATTTCCTGCGATCTGTTAGACCTATTGATAGCAATAGGTCTAACAGATCGCAGGAAATAGAGGGGAGTCGTATCCTTGCTGCGGCTTGCGAACTTGCTGTATGTAGGTGTGTTGATCTAGGTCGTCCTAGTTTTCTCTTGCCTTCTATTTTTCCTTTCAGTATTATTATGATGAAGTTGTTGTGTCTTAACAAGTGGTCAAACATTTTGCCTCATCTGTTTTCAATTACCATTCCGAGGCTTATCACCGACTTCCAACAGACTAAAAGGTATCTTTTGCTATTATGATGTTACCTGTTAGATTAAGGGACGCACTTATTTTGGTTTCTTCAATTAGATTTGTAATATTTTTTCGGTCGTTCAATTTTTTTTTAAAAGGATTTATTTCTAAAGTATTGCTGAGAAACTAAACTAAGGGTTCGGTGTTCTTCGCCCCAGTTCGGTCATCCCTAGGAGCTATTCTATTTTGTATAGAGTAAAACTATAAATCCGGGTTAACCGAGCTACCGAGTTACCCATATTACCGAGCGAGAGAATTCCCACTCCGATGTCCACCACGAGGTCGCTTCTCTGCTCCACCCAAACCGGGCATTCTGCCAGCGTGTGGAGCGCCAGCGCCGCGACGATGGGCCCGCCATCGAAGTGTTGGCACTCAGGCGTTGGCTTCTTGCGGATCAGAGACAGGTAATCAATGGCATTTGTGCAACTTATACTAAGTTTGGGTGCATTTTTTAAAATTAAATTAATAACAAAACAAAGCTCTCCTATGAGCGTAGCTTTACAGAGAAGGTCTAGTGGAAGGATACTGAAAACTTAGGTAACTTTTAACTACTAAATTCTTTCAAATACTAAATACAAAAACTAAAATGTAGACGAAGGAATGTCTATTATTATTTAATATTTATCTATTAACTAAACTTTTTGTAATTTAAAATCTAAATGGTAATATTTTTTATACAATCTGCCATAAAAACGTGCATAGTAAACAAATACTCTTCACAAAAGATTTCGTGATAATTTATACCAAGATGCGAAAACGTTAAGCAATGATGGAGTATTCATTGTACATTTTTATTAGTCCAAATATTTGTATAGCGTATTCTTTAATAGAATTATGTATATGTGCAGCAATTAACGCATTTGTGTTATAGGTATTACATATTTTTGAATTGCCTTACACGGACGTTTACCTACAAATATACGTTTGTGGGTAAACGTATAGGCATGTAAATCTATACTAATATTATAAAGCTGAAGATTTTTTTTGTTGGTTTGTTGTTTGTTTGTTTGAACGCGCTATTCTCAGGAACTACTGGTCCGATTTGAAAAATTCTTTCAGTGTTAGATAGCCCATTTATCGAGGAAGGCTATAAGGTATATATAATCACGCTAAGAGCAATAGGAGCAGAGCACCAATGAAGAATGTTTCAAAAACGGAGAAAATCTATTACTATTGAGAGACGCAGACAAAGTTGAGCGGGTCAGCTAGTATATAATAAGTAAAAAAAAACTGTATCCTTTTTAAATAAAATTAGCACTCGGAGGCACATCATATCATATCATATTTAGTAAAATCTATGTTTTTAAGTAGAAGTGTAGAGAATTTGTAAATGGTATCTTGTATTCAATTAAAAATAATATAAAAAGGCTACATAAAAGTATACGGGTCATCAAAAAATTAATACAGTTTTCTTTTAGTTGGAGTAACGTCATTCTCTGTTTCTGACATTCAGTTTGCAGTTGTACAAAACTCAAAAAATAACATAAAAAGGCTACATAAAACTACCCGGGTCCACTACCAATATGTACCTAAAGGCGGTCAATAGGGAATATGCATAAAATTGAAATTTGTCTTTTTTCTAGATTCTTTATTGTCTTTACATTATACTTAAAAAGCATTTTTTTTATTTAGTTATTATTTAACCCAGAAAATATTATATAGAAAATGAAAAATAAGGGATGGAAATTCAAACTTACAAAACGCGTCACCATTGGTCGAAAGATTAATATCATACATTTGTATGGGACGTACTAGGACTTGCCTCGTAATCACTTCTTTGTGAAGGTTTACTAATTTGTAAAATATTACTAAATTTGATAGCATACTCTAAAAGAGCTTCATTTACCAGTAATAGTCTTTGCCTTTTAACTACGGCCATTCTCTCAGCTGGTGGTGGCATATTCCGTTTTTGCCACAAAAACATATGAGGAACAACTTCTCTCTTTAACCGTAGATTACATTTTTCTCCTTTCTGTTTCATTATGATATATTCAATATATATAACTGTATCTTCCTTAACCTAAAATAACTTATCAATCAAGCAATAATAAGCAAGAATAAGCAAGCTCTTTTAATGAGCTCTTGTAAAATAGGTTAGGTTACTTTTAGATCGAATCTACTACTGCTTAATAACTAATTCACACTAAGCTGTACATAAATATAAAAAAATATAAAAATAAAATGATCTTCACAACAAAAAACAACCGATAATGGAGATAAATTATCCCTTCTCATCATCTTACATCATTTTTTTCGTTTCGTGGAATACGAAAAACACTTTATCAGGTGTACCTACTGATAATAGTGTTTTTGCACTTCGGTACCATACAATACTTGTAAGAAGGTTTTTTAACTTCTACCATGATTTGTATAGAAATTGAAACTGAAAATAAGTATGAAGTAACTGAAACGCTATAGTCAACAAACACGGGACACAACCAATGACGTCATCAAAAGCGCGCGCTAAATGGTACCCCCCCCCACCCCAGCCTGTAAATTTGAGATATATATATAAAAAAATACCAGTCGACGTATCTTAAAAACTTTTCAAAATTATTTATTATTAAAACAGCACCCTCTTAGTTTACGAGTAAAAAATAAATAAAGATACTACCTGCTACACCGTCTATATCACTTGAACTACTTCGAATTTCGTACTTACTTAAAAACTGCACCCTACTCGAAACTAACTGCACTATCATTAGAATTTCATAAAATGCAATAGTTATTGCAACAAACAAATAAAACGTAATCAGTCAATTGCCGAAGGCGCGTGGTACGTTTGCGCATGCGCATGCCATACATCTAGGGTTTTTATTTTCGAAAGTTCGAAGCAAGTTCCCACCCCTAACCTTATCTGCGTCTAAATGGTGGCGTTTGAACGACTCAAACTTATTCAATGTTTTAAATTTCACTTTGAAAAATTATTTCACTATTTTCAAGACTATTTATATTTTTTTCCATGTTATAAAGATGTAAATGATTAATTTTAGCAATAAAAAAAATCATGCAAATTCCCTATTGCAAAAATGTTTTACTTTATGTTGTACTAGTACTTATTTGCTTTATAAAAAAAATACAGTTTTTTTTTGTTGTGTTAACGTCATTCTTTGTTTCTCATTCATCATTTAGTTTGCAGTTAGTTATCATATAAAATCATACTAGTTAGTTCTCTTTTAAGGGTTACGATTATATATACAGACTCGAAAAATGGATTTCTTAGAACTTCGAACCCAAAAATTTAGAATTCAGATAAAGTAAATAGGTATTTACATAAGTTGGCGTTTGGAAAAAAGTCAAATTTTGACTAAATCCGGATTGACAACATATTGCTATAAATCTATAAAAGACTTCATCGCGATGCTTTTGTTATCAGTCGCTATCCAGTCAGCAACGGACATAACATATTCAAAATGAAATTGGTACGTTTCATTTTTCATTAAATATTTTCTTTAAAATGTATTTTCTTGAATATATTTTCGCCCCTGTTTTCTGAGATCTCTTAGTGTTTTGAGTAACTTTTTTGTGTTTTTTTTTATTATGTACAGTAATGATTTGTTTAAATATATCATCTAGTTCTTGGTGTGGTTACTATTATATTAATATTTATTTTTGTTAACTTAAGAATATGATTGAATTATTTCTTAATAAAATATCTATTACGAATTATACGACTTTAAATATTTTAACGAGTATTGTATATTTATGTTTATCATGGAATTGTCAACAGGTCATTCTTGTAGCTTGTGCCCTTATGGCCATCACTGTTGCAGCTCCTCCAGAACCACCCAAGATCGTCCGCTCCGAGTACGAACAAAGTCCGGACGGAGGCTACTCCTACACGTAATAAATATTTTAGTCATTTTATGTTTTTTAGATTGAAAAATACGGAGAAAGTTTTAGATTTTACTAGCAATTCACCCCGGCTTCGCACGGATGCAATGCAGATACTTCTAATACTACTAATGTGGTCTCAGTTTGGAGTTAACTTATTTTGTTTTTGTTGTATGAGTTACTACTATTATGATAGGACTATACTACAGGATATCTTTAAATGCAATATTTATAGGCCCGCTCCGTTTCTTACCTCCCGGCCTCAGCCACACGACGGCCGTTGGGCCCCGCATTTTAAACATCTAATATCATCTAAAATATTCATTTTAATGATATGCTGTTAAGAGAAATCTTTTAATGTACATTAAATGCACAACGTATTTTAAGTATTTAATTGGATAAGCAATAATAATGAATTGTTTATAATAGCCCTTTTTTTTGTAATATTTAAAAGACAAAAATGGATACTGTGGGTTATCCTTAGGAGATAGACATATACCACCACAAACTTTTTTGTAGATCTTTTTAAGATATACAATTCCGTAGTACATTATTTTTGTCTATCTCGTAAGGTTGAGCCAGCGTTTGCAATGTAAGAGCACAAAAACATGTTTTTACGACAAATCTTTGAAATTCTCGGATTTCCTCTATTATGATATGAACATACATATAAACCTTCCTCTTGAATCACTCTCTCCCTTTATTGGTGAATATTGCATTAAAATCCGTTACTTAGCTTAAAAGATTTAAGCGTACAACACAAAAGCGACTTTATTTCATAAGATAAGAAATATATTTTTTTAAGTGTTATTTAACGTTTGCAGCTTTGAAACTGATGATGGTGTTGTACGACAAGAGACAGGTGTGATCAAAGAGGCCTTTGATGAAGAAAACAAACCTCACAACGTAGTAGTCGTTCGCGGCTCCTACAGCTACAAAAATCCCGATGGCATCGTTGAGGCAATTAACTATTCTGCTGACGAGAACGGTTTCAAAGCTGAGGGAGACTCCATCCCCAAAAACCCTCCCGTAAGAAGATAAGCTGCTAATAACGTTTCGCCGATAAACAAACGATTGTCTAACTTCCTTAATCTATTGTTTGTCAGCTAAATTACTGGAAATGACTAGGAACGTCTATATGCTTTAAGGAACGAGAAATAATCGCAACAAATGACCGTGTGGGTGAGCATCGCCGCACTGGTTACCTGTAGCACTGACAAATTTGATGCTCACTGCCATTCAATTTCGTATTAAGTTTCGGTTGAGTTTTAATTTTTAAGTACAGCTGTAAATAAATTTTATGAGATGAGATTTTGAGTACTGTTAATGTTTGTATCCAGTCTGCAAGAAAAGACCAGCGTGACGCTTGTCTTTTCTAATTTTGAAAAATATTTTTCTAAGAGAAACTAGGTGGTTCACTGAAATTCGCTTCTCTTTTTATTATTTATCTAGAATACAAAAAAAAACCACTACAGACTTTTTCTATATGTCATTGTACATATAGAAAAAGTACTGTTCCCGGGAGGAAAAGTAGTTTTTACGTAGGCGAAGGCGCGAGTATGACCTATAGGCTGGTGCCAAAGCGAATTTGAAATACTGTTTTCAGTATTTCAAAATCGCTTTGGCACCAGCCTAAGAAAAAATTAATAACAGGCAAAGACTAGATAGAAAATGTTGTTAAGAAAACACTCAATGTGGTGAAACGGGGATGCAGTTTAGGCGTTGAAAACGTTTTTTTTTTGGGATTTGCGGCGAAACGTGACCTCCTAACGGAAAATGTTCAATCCAAAAGTTGTAGATAATAAAAAATAAAATAAAATTTAAATTATAAAATTTAACACTTTTTGACATAACCTCAAATTTATCGCCAAAATGGTGTAAACCCAATACAAGTACTTCGCTAATATAGGTAACGAATTAGCCAGTAAATTAAAACCAACTCATAGACCCAAACCGAATTGTCTCACAAATCCTGCACCGTTAAAATCCATGGGCATAGTTGAAGTGGACGAAATATAGATAAACAGAGTTGTTAATAGCCTCCGTACAGAAACAGCTATGAGATGGGATGGCATTCACACAAGTGTTTTGAAATCTGCTAGACTGTATCTAGTTCCAGTAATAACTCACATATGCAATCTGGCCATAAGATCTGGTACTTTCCCCAGGGCCCTAAAAAGATCAGTAGTAATACCGATCATCAAAAGGGGTGATAAGGGTGAAGTGGGTAACTAAATACCTATATCCATACTTCCAGCTTAGTCGAAGATCTAGCAGATAGTCCTCAACAATTACATAACAGACTTTCTGGAGGCAAATAATATTATATCGAAAAATCAATATGGCTTTAGAAAGGGTGTACTGAAGATGCAGTTGCATCACTTACACAGCTTGCAGTTCGTAAGATTTACGATAAACAGAAATGCCTAGGGATATTTCTTGATCTCTCCACGGCCTTTGATACAGTTTCCATTCCAATTTTACTAAAAAAACTTGAATGGGTGGGTGTCAGAGGAGATGCCCCAAAAATGTACAGTGACTACCTAAAAGATCGCCTTCAATGCGTTCTTATTAGTTTACTTACCAGTAACGAAGTCCCAGTACTATGTGGGGTTCCACAAGGGAGCATCTTGGACCCTACCCTCTTTACGATTTGCCTCAATGAACTTTGTAATATCTCGTTGCCAAATTCACATATCTATTCGTATGATGATGACACTGTCATATTAGTTTACGGTAAGCGTGGCCCGACCATTCTCGAGAATTGGGTCGGGCACATACCTGGGCCTCAATTCTGCTATTACTCCAAGCCAGTGTCATACCACTGACACACTATTGAGATGCCATCGAGTGGCCATTGGCATCGGTATAAATATCGGTAGTTGAAAATATATTAATAAATAAAAATAAATTATTTAAAAAATTAAATTATTAAAAAATGTGATAAATAAATTATTAAAATAAAAAAAATATTAAAATTAATTTCCTTATTATTTGAAAATATATTACGTTTTTTGACGTTTCGACCAGGTTACACCGGCCGTGGTCACAGGCTGACTGAAATAATATGCCTGATTGATTCCCCAGGACGGTGGCATGCCCGACAGATGTCAACCTTACCATCTTTCAGGATATATTTCCGATAGTTAGTGGTGATAACTTCATCCATAATAGCACAAACAAAACCTTCAGTTTCTCCGAAGAGATCACCATACCGTAGCCAAGTCGTAGATACTTTAAAGTCTATATTGGACCCGTTTAGGGCCCGAAAAAACCGGTCATAGAGCTCTTTGCCCTTCCATGCTTCCCTACGATCATTAGTACTAAGTACTACCGGTTTGCGCCAATTCTCTTTAGCCAGAGCAAGCAGGGTGAATTCGATATCTATCCGATCCGGGATTATCCGATTGTATAGGGTCTTGATATTTAATAATCCGCGACCCCCTAGCTTTCGCATAATCTAATCTCATAACGTGGGTGGTGCATTCGGAATGCAGTCGGACTCTTCTGTCAAGAGCATCTAATTCGGTATGAGCCCATCTAAGTATACAAAAGGAATACATCAGAATCGGCATGATCCGACCATTGCAGGCTCGTACCTCGTTGCCCCCTAATAAAATACTTTTAAGTTCTTTTTTCAAAAAAGCGTTTCTGCAACGTTTGATTCATGTCAGATTCTGGTATGCCTAACGACTGTGATATACCCAAATACTTGTAAGTTTCAGTGGCAGGCAGAGATCTGAGTTTTGTTGAATCTTAAACCTCTATTCCTTCAGATTTTACTATCACACCCTTCTTTAATGCACACTTGTCGACACCAAATTCCGTTTTGATGGAATTACAAAAGTTTTCCGTCACCTTTAGTAACGCTGACAATTGTAATTTGGTGGTTGCTAGTAGTTTCAAATTATCCTTATAAAGAAGGTGAGATATAACTTGATCATCTTTCTGCAACCTATAGCCTAACCCTGAACCCTCTAATAAAGTGCTAAGATGGTTCAAAGCCAGACAAAACCACAAGGGACTCAGACTATCACCTTGATACCCCGCTCGATCTTTATTGGTGCATTGTTAACCGCCGGCTGCTGACATCTCGGATAACGAAGTGCTGTTCTCCATACATGACTTCAAGAAAGTGCACAGAGTTGTATCAATTTTACACAACTCCAGCACCCTCAAAAGCCATGTATGGGGAACCGAGTCATAAGCCTTCTTATAGTCTATTCTTCATGTCGCCAAACTCTTACGATTACGACACACTTGTTGGCTACTGGTCCTGTCTATAATAAGGAGGTCTTTAATGCCACGGGTCCCACTTCTACATCCATTCTGAGAAACTGAAATAATCGAATTATTATTAATGTGTAAAGTAATTTTGAATCTCAGAATAGATGTTAAAAGTTTATACATGGTTGGTAAACATGTAATAGGTCTAAAAGTTTTGGGATCCATGACACTACCAGACTTATAGAGTAAGTGGGTTTTACCAGTGGTCAAAAATTGGGGTAATGAACCCGAATCCAATTCTGGCTGGAATTGAGATGCCAAACACGCAACTGCACAGCTTACATCATCTTTATCAATTATAACGGTGTTATAGACTCACATATGTGGCTGACATCCCACATCCAATCACCTTGTATATGAGTGACAGGCACCGAAGAGATGTTACGCCAAAATGTATTTGTGACATTTTCATCTGGCAAATGCCTATCACTCACACATGAATCTGGTTCCTCTCATTTCCGGTACACCCACTTCTCATTTCTTTGGAACATCCGATTCTGATTATACTGATCTATTCGTTTTTTATACCGTCTTATCCCATTTGCCCATGCATAAATTTTCTGCTTTAGAAAGTCTATGCGATCTGTGACACATGACATGTACTGTTGAGGACCATTAGTAGTCCCCAAGAATGCCTGTTTTAAAAAGCGCATCACTCTCGGCCGCGTATTCCCTGATAGAAAACTAATTAGCTTACCAATAAGCAATACGACGTTCAATTCTACACTGCCAAGCTGGTACAGTAGATTTAGGTCGAGTAGTAGTGACATTTTCAACTATATTAACACCAGCTACTCGACAAACTGCTACAGCACCACAGTATAGAATAGAATGTGTATCACCAAGATCTTCGCTATTGTCTATCCAGGAATCCAGGGCACCCACAAGCGCTAAATTTTGTTTAAGAATTGGCAAACGGGATGACTGGGGTCTATTATTAGAATCCAAAGCGCTCCTTATCCTATCATTGTATTGGGTACTTACAGATATAACTTCTCTCTCTTCACTTATTATTATAATTGTCAAATTTTAATTTGACTGGTGTCTTGGTCTAGTGGTTAGTTACGCTGATTGCTAAGCTAAAGGTCGTGGGTTCGATACCCAACTATGACAAATAATTGTGTGATGAGGACGATCATAATTTATTCTATGTCTAGGTATATATAAAATATTTAGGTACGTATTTTGAAATGTATAAGTATGTTGATCAGCAGTTTGATTACCATGAATGTAGTACAGGCTCTGCCTAGTTCGGGAAAAGACAGCTGTGTGTGAGATGTGTGAAGATATTTTTATTATAAAATAGATTAGTCATTTAAATGTTATATTGCAAATGACATATTGCATGGAGTTTTCTACCTATTTCTTTTGAGTTAACTAAAAGCGACGTGCGTATACATTTTTTTTTAAGGAAAAGGGGGCAAACAAGCAGACAGGTAACCTGATGGAAATTACATTAGACATGATGTTGAAAATTATAAAAACAAAAGAATAGAAAAACACATGGTAACTGTCATTAATTATGTATAGTCCGGTCAATTTAGACTAAAAAATGAGAGTGAAGTTACATAAAGTCCCAACAAGCTGAATTTCTGTGAAGTTGTTCAAAACATAATTATAAACAATGTCTAGAAGTTCCCCATCATTCCCCGTAAACTTACCGTTTTGCTGAGAATCGCGAAAAACTCATTTTTTTGACCTTTGACCTTCAATTAAATTTTTTCCTTACAGGGAAGGGGGGGGGGGGAATGATGGGGAACTTCTAGACATTGTTTATAATTATGTTTTGAACAACTTCACAGAAATTCAGCTTGTTGGGACTTTATGTAACTTCGAATGTCTAAATTGACCGGACTAGTAGCAGATATGCTAAATAACTAATCACAGGTTCACCATCACAGGTTATACAGCCCCGTTTTGTTTTTGTTTTATTTTATAAATCAATATCAGTCGAGACAGGATAACATTCTGATTTTCATGATACTATTCACTCTTCAGACATCTCAAAGTCCATTCACGCATATAGAATTTATAGTAGAAAAATGAAAAGTGTTTATTAAGATACTTCAAAACACGAACCCTGAAAACATCACACCTTCCTTATACTTACATCTACACTTTCACTTAAACCTAAAATTTTATATTATATACACACTTTAATTGACTCCATCTAAAAACATGTCCTACCTAGTTTGATAACTATATAATACTTAGGGTATATCATTATGTATAAATATGACTTATGTTGCCTTGACCGAAGATATCACTATTTGCTTTTGACAAACAAATGGACGAACAAGGAAGTGACTGTTTAAGATTGTTTTAGCTAACTTTAATTTTTTTTTAGTAAAACCAAAATACTACAATAAATATAATTTACTAGCCAGTGCACTAAAACCTGCATTTGACGTATTTTTAATTCTTTAAAAAAATCTTAACCAACTTCAAACAATACTGACAAAGAGCACTAAAAATGAAAAAATAATTACAAATCTAAGTAAAAAAATCATAATAAGTACCCTTTTTTTTTTTTTTTTTTTTTTTCCGTGCGGAAATCCCCTCGGATACCACCTGTCGGTGGCATGTCGGACACGAACCGACTAAAACCGCACGTCTCGGGTACTAATAGCCGGGGAACCAGATATACCCTAGAAAGGAAGTCCCTGGTGCCCCGACATACCTCGGGTCATCTACAGACGAGTAGACGACCCCACCCCGTGTGGGAACCCCATGTTCCCTGTGCTCCCTGGATGCGAGCGCGCTTCGCAACGCGCTCGCCGCCACCCCGGCCTGCTTCTGCTAGGGTGACAGATGGCGTCACCTGTCACATTGGCTGTCACCTCGAGCCAATCCTCCATAACGGGTCTTACCGCCGCGATGACGGCGTGCCCCGCGCTCGGTTGCCCGAGTCGTTCCCTCCACTCCCCTATAATGACCTGGCGGAGTTGGGCTTTCCGGTCATCGATTTCTCGAATCTCGGGGCATCGACCCAACTCCCGCGCCTCCTTGCGCCACTGATACAGAGCCGCAAGGGCTCTTGCCTCCAGGTCCCACGGTGGAGTTCCGGCCAGGAGACTCGCCGCCTCAAAGGAGATCTTGCGGTACCCCCTTATGATCCTGATGGCCAGCACTCGCTGCGGTCGTCGCAGTATCGCGATGTTGCTGGCCTTCAGAGGCCCCGCCCATACTGGGCACCCGTAAAGGGCCATGGACCGCACAACCCCCGAGTAGAGTCTCCTGCAGGAGTCATCGGGTCCCTTCATGTTGGGCAGCAGCCGCGCCAACGCACGCGCTGCCCCAACCAACTTGGGGACCAGACCTCGGAAATGATACCCGAAGTCCCATCGGCCATCGAGTACGAGCCCCAGTCGTAGCCGATGTTCCACAAGAGTGGCCCTAACACCGACCCCTGCGGAACACCGCACGACATTTCACGCCTACCGAGACCGGTCCTACTGGGGTAGACGACGGCTCTCACCGACAAATATGCCCCGACTATGCGGCGGAGGTAGAGAGGCACTTCGTGATACACGAGCGCCTGCCTGATGCAGCTCCAGGGCATAGTGTTGAACGCGTTGGCGATGTCCAAGGACACCGCCTACACCACTTCGCCCCGGGAGACTGCTTCCTCCGCCAGAGCCTTCACGCGCATGATCGCATCCACGGTGGAGCGCCCCTGACGGAAACCGAACTGGTTGTCCGCCAGATCCGGCCCAACCATCACGAGATGCTTGACGAGGCGCCTTGCAATCACTCTTTCAAAGAGCTTGCACTCCTCGTCAAGCAACACTATGGGCCGGTAGGCGGACGGTGAGTCCCTCCTTTCGGATGAGGACCAGTTTCCCCGTCTTCTACAATTTCGGGAACTGGCCCCGCTCGAGGCATGCGCTGAAGAACCCTCGCAGTCGGGGATAATAAGTACCCTCAATATGATAGGTAATATTATAATGGCAATAGTCCCTTTTGTTTGTTTGAAGTCGGTGCCATGCCAAATAGGTACTTGATAGGCTTGGTAGAATGTAGCGCGGCAGCTGCAGCAGTCTTCATGCTGCGCAAAACATGCTGAAAGAGCTAAAGTTGACTACGCCTCCAATGACGTGTGTGACGTGACGGACTGCTATTCCAAAGGTCTCGGGTTCGATTGCCAAGTAAAACATTTGTGTGCATGAACCTGTAATGTTTGATTTGGTCTGGGTATTTCTATTTATAATATGTATGTATGTATTTACTAAAAAAGTATATAATATGTATTTACTCGTATAACAGTTGTCTAGTACCCATATTTTTTTTTTTTTTTTTTTTTACCACATACACAACGCCATCTAGTCCCAAACTAAGCAGAGCTTGTACTATGGGTACTAGACAACTGATATAAATACATATATACTTTTTTTTTTGTAAATACATACATATTATACATAGAAACACCCAGACCAAATCAAACATCAAATGTTCATGCACACAAATGTTTGACTTGAGCGGGAATCGAACCCGCGACCTTTGGAATAGCAGTCTGTTACACAAACCACTACGCCATCCAGTCGTCAAATTTATCATCATATTACAAGCTCTGCTTAGTTTGGAACTAGATGGCGTTGTGTGATTGTTTTAGAATATATATTAAGTAAGTTGATAAGTGTTTGCGCACGTAATTGAGTTAGTGTTTGTTAATTAACAAAATCTGCGATGGTCCATTAGAATTATATTGAATTAGTAATTTTTTATTGTATTAATATAAAGCTAAAATTATGTTGAGGGGACTTATTACGGTTTTTTTTTAATTAGATGTGTATTTATTTTTTAATTTGTAGTGATCTTTGTCAGTACTGTTTCGAGCCGGTTCAACTTTTTTTTATAAAAGGCTTCATTTTACATTTTTAGGCTAATAATACTACGCAGCGTAACGTATACCAAACTGTAGTATGTTAGATTATATTAAATATAGTTTAATCATTCCGTTACTTTATTTAGTTTATGTAGTAACATGTTACATTTGAACCCGAAAATACTCGTATATTGTTTTCCACATTACTTAATTTTACAAAACTAGGAGTGGTATTTTTTCTTCACATTTAAATGGAACTAACTGAAAATATACCCTTCCAAACAAAAAAAAAAAAATGTAATCGGTTTACAAAATGAAAGAGTTTTAAGGTAACAAACATGAAAATAATTACGTTACAATCATTTTTTTGTCTGAATGTTTTGTAAGCTTATATATTACTTTTTTGTGCACATATTTCTGTAACCCAACACAAACACCAAACAAATATCTTTAAAAAAAAAACAAGGTCAATACATGATTCGATTTTTGAAAGAGTTATCCTCTTAACTCCTAAAGGTCAAGGGCCCTTCCATCATCATCTCAGCAATGTGACATAACGACTACTAAACGCAAATACCTATATAACTTGATACTCAAGCTAAAACACGTTGTCAGGGCTGTAAAATTTAAGGGTTTAACTCGATTTCTCTAGGATCCCATCATCAGATCCTGATTTGGTTGAATTAAAACTACCTCGAGAGCATATCCTTTCGATTACAAAAATAATTTTGAAAATTGGTCCACAATTGACGGAGATATCGCGTAACAAACATACAAAAAAAAAACCAGACTAATTGATAACCTCCTCTTTTGTGTTTTTGAAGTCGGTTAAAAATAAATTCATATGTAGTAGTAGCTTTTTATTTACAGTACCAATAACGTTAATCTTCACAGAACATCACATTAGAACATGGCAATGCACTGTTTAGGTTAACCACAACTAATTTGTTAAATTATTTAAGGTTCGGGGTTTTTGGGAATGGAGGGGCCCTCAGCTTGGAAACCGTTCTCGTCAGCAATGTAGGTGATGCTCTGGGGTTGGCCATTAGGGTCGTTGTAGACGTAAGAGCCGCGCACAACTATGACTTTAACGAGCTTGCCCTCTTCGTTCGGGACCTCCCGGATTTCACCATTTTCCTGACGCTTGTAACCGTCATCAGTTTCAATACTGTAACAACGAAATAAATATTGATAACTAAACAAAACACTACACGCAAGAGATATTATAAATTATTTTTACTGAACACGGGCTTACCACTGGAAATTAAAATATTCACATACATATTTTCACTATTTCATTTTGTAAACAAGGTAAATAAAATCATGCTTACACAACACTGTAGGAGCCATCGGTTTCTTGATTAATATCCGAACGTAAAATCTTCACAGGTTCGGGTTGCGTCTCGGCTGGAGCGGCTAGAGCCACGGCGAAGAAAGCACAAGCGATTAAAATGATCTGTAAGAAAAATGAAAATATAATTTCTGAAAATAAATTAACTTTTTAGTTCATATTGAATATTGTCTTTATTATTGTTTCTATCATAAATCACAATTGGTTATCAGTATTCAAAACATTTGAAACGCTAGTAGTGTAATTAATTCTTGTCATTCATGGATATCTCCCCTATTTTCTTTTCAATAAACTAAGTTTTTTATCTAATCCACATCTTTAATACGATGGACGACGGTGCTATCGCAAGAGGGTGGATGAAATTATATTAGAAATCTCGCATCAATAACACATCATCGACAAAATATCATTATTTAAATTGTAATAATATTATTAAATTCCTACTTCATAATAAAAAGGCGTTGATAATTTTTATAACATATAAAAATATGCCTAAAAAGTTTGCCTTACAAAGATTTTTACAACTATCAAAGATTTTTACAACTTAAATTATACTAAATATTATTTCCTTTTCCATAAACACTTACGAATTTCATTTTGATAGGTTTTTGTTGGTAACTCCTAAAAGAGGAACTGATGCTAAAGCGATTGTGAGCTAAGCTTTTATAGGTGAATTTCTTATGTAAACTGTACAATGTGTAGTCGTAAATCCGGATAAGCTAGTTCATGACTAAAGATACTTGAATATGGAAGTGATTTCATGACATGACAGCCTCTAATAAATGGTTTATTTTTGGATTATCTATCAATAACAGTAGTGAGACATTGAGTTTTAATATATATATATCAATATAAGGTCATATATACATATATAATTTTGAAAGTATGAAAATGTTGGTTATTTTTTTATTTTAACCAATCAAAGTACTGGCCCAAATTATCTATACAATTTTGCCATTTTGATGGCAGTTTATTTATCCCTTTACTGTAGAAGTCTGCTGGAAGGGAGGATGTAAGGTCAGTGGAAGCGTTTTGTACTGCTGCTGCTACTTTGCGATGGTGTGTCGTGAAGTGTGAGCTCGCGCGTTGTCGTGGAGAAGCAGTGGGAAAGAGCGATTGACTGCACCCATTGAGACGAACCCAACTGCTTCAATGTTGTTTTGATACTAACTCCAAAGCCTGTAGCAAGTTCAGCCGTAGATTGAGTTACATCCGCTTCCGCTATCGCCTTCAATTCGTCGTTCTCGACTATACTTATCGACCGACCGCGAGGCTTGTTCTTTAACTTAAAATTTCCAGATCTAAAATGATTGAACCAACAATTGAACGTGTTTATGCAAGCGGGGTTAGGCTCGTACATGTCGTTAATGTTTTGTATTGTTTGCGGACCGATATTTCCTCGTGGTGCTCATACAATACGAATTTCACGTTAATCCATCACGACAAAAACTACTACACTTTCAATACGAATTTCACGTTAATCCATCACGACAAAAACTACTACACTTTCAATACAACAACACACTATCTAAAACAATTGACTAGATTTTAAATTAAAATAACATGGTTTTCGGATAAAATTTATAATTTATTTATTTATTCGAATATTATATATAATCCCTACTTATATGACAATGAAATGAAATATGAAATATGAACTAGGTATGATAAAAATTTTACCTACATAAAATGACCCCAAGTGCGTGACCCGTAACCCACTTGGGGTCATTTTATATTTATAATTTGTTGTTTTCTGATGGTCCGAATTTCACAATGACTAAGAATTATAATGTCCAAAATTAAAATTCACGAAACTTGTTTTACCGAAAGTTAAGCGATTTGTTTGTTTTTCGTTTTTTATGCGTTCGAAGAATCAAATGTTCGATGGGTTCTTGGTCCGAAAAACGACATTCCGATTTTCAATACTTCGAATAAACTGCTAAAATTATGACACTGATTCAGTTAGTATAATATTCAGTAACGCATTATATATTCAAAATCTATAAGTAAAGTTTAATGTAATTTAAACAAGCCTTTGAGCAAAGCTTACTGAAATAACGATCCTCTTTGAGTTCATTGGTTTCTAGAATCACTATTGCACACGACAAGGGCAACGTCATCCTCAAAAAGGAGATTGTTTATGAAGAGGTCCTTTCTGTGACACTTATACTTCGGCAAGGAGGTGTTGTAAAGTCTACTATCGGAACGTGTGTGGTATTATCGGAGGTGGATACTTGTGGACAGATGATTATAAGAAAAGATTATGTATTACTTTAATCAACTTCAAACTATTTTTGTAATTTGGTTTCATAAATAGGTTTAAAGTTATTCCAAATATCATAGAAACGTAGTTCAAGTTTCTGCGTTTCATAATGAATTAATTAACTAACTACCCTTATCGAAAAAAATCAATCGATGTTTTACGAATTGCGGTATGTTCCAAATTAGCTTAAAGCTTATTAACACATTAATGAGTAGACACTGATTAGAAAAAATCTACCTCGCTCTTCTAGAAGTTGGAGCATGCCCCTTCTAACAATTTATGCACTCTCTACCACCGAATGCACTTATTAAAATTGCACTTAGTACAATCGAATAGTGAATGCAACGTAGTGACTAGTTTCGGGCAACGTAACAGATTGCAACCTGTTGCTTCAATGAAATCTCATACTATTACTTAATAGTTATTGTTGTTTGACTGTCTCGGTGGCGCAGTGGTAGCGTATGCGACTGCTGTGCTGAGGTCTATCGTCGATTCCCAGGTCGGACCAAATGTTTGTATGATCTGCAAATATTCGTTTCGGAGTTTGGGTGTTTCTTTATACATTCAATCAGTCAATTTAGTACAAATATATTAAAGTAATCATAGGAAAAACTCAGCTTAGTTTAAAACTAGTTGGCGTTGTGTGTTAGATGTCCGAAAATATTATTATAAATATTATCATTATTATATTTTAGTATTTTTGCTACTGGACTAGAATACATTGCTAATAGCGGTACTCGTATTCTACTAAGTGGTTAAACCAGCATAAGATCTGATGAAAACCAGTTACATAAAATTAATATTGGTAGGCTATGGCGCACGTTGGGAGAAGCGTATGTTCCGCAGTGAACTGCAATATTTTGATTGATTGAGGTATGACAGTTAAGTATAAAAATAATAATTTACCTAAACTAGGGTCAACGCACGATGAAAAGTCAAACTCAAACTGACACAGACTTGTCCACTTGTTAAAACCTTGTTAGGAGACCCAATTGTTTAGTACGGTGGCCTTGTTTCCTCCTATTTACTTTTCACGCTGTCCTCTCCGGTTTGTTTCTTCTAGGATTACCAAGAGAGGAGGAGTTTTCTCTAATTATCTGGCGCGTAATCTTTTAGGTTCAGATGATCTCATCCCGATGGTATAAAATATGATATTGTCTACCTGAGTCTACCAATCATTAGTGTGATGGATACTGGTAATTAAAAGCCAATTGTTAAGTACTAGTAAGTAAAAAGTAGCTCACTTTTACATTTATACTATAAGTATGGATTATAAATTAGTATTTGTCAACAACGGTTAAAGTTTAATTGACGGTTAATAGAACAGTGGCAACACACATATCTTTCCAGCTACTGGTGGTATAAACACAACGACCTTGAATCATAGCTTCACGTTATAAAGTATAGCCCCGACCTCTGGAAAGGTTAAGAGCACATCACTTTTGTACGTGTCCTGCATACTGCGACGTTGGACAAGTTTTAGCCTATTTACACCTGTTTTTTATTTCGATACTAATAATACGCTTATAGCATTCAGCCACTTTTTATCGCTCGACCTTTTGAAAATTAATTAGTTGAAAACCTCTTAGGTCGCCTCTTGTTTTATTTTATTTGTGGTTCTAGACGAACCTGAAATATTTATTACTTAAGTTTGTTTTGTGTAAAGCATATATTTATATACTTCTACAACTTAGTGCAGTTTAAATATGTCTATGTATGCAGTTTAATCTAATCTCGAATATTCGTCTTTATATTCGTCTGTACTTATGGTATAACTAGGCTTTGATAGCGTTTATGAAGGTTTTCTTAATAGTTTGTGAATTAATTCCGGTGTCGGGAATTGTATTTTTTTCTTAATAAATGGCTTACCTATGGTTTAGATTAGTTGAGAAGTAAAAATTAAACAAACAACGAAGAAATATTTACATATATTACGTAAGAATAGGAATCGTTATGGACCTAAAAAATAAACACGGAATAATTATTATTTATATAGGTATGCGTAATATGGCACGTCACCGTTCCTGGTTAAATTGGCGCTGATCAAATGGTATACATCTTCATCTAAACAGCACTCACATGTGATTATTTTTTTATTTTTAGGGTTCCGGACTGCAGAATAACAAAACGTAACCCTTATAAGATAACTTTGTTCTCCGTTTGTCTGTCGGTCCGTCTGCCAAGATCCTTTGTCACGGGAACGCGTGGTGAAAGCGAGTTGAAATTAAAACTATATACTCAGGTCTACAGGCGTCAAATAGTATAAGAAACTGCGTCTCGTCGCGTCTCGGCGCGGCGAATTGGGTCCAAGTCGAGATCATCTTCCCGGGCCCTCTCCGCTGCCTTCTTCTGCGAGATGACGTCTTCGCCTTCTTCGAGATGCAATAGTGTAGTGAATAAATTGATGAAACTGATGGAAGATTACAAAAGTGATGGAAGCAAAACAGCCAAGCCACATATTTTGAATAAGGTGGAAAGATTGTGAAGTTAGGGCTTGTAGTATGTAGAGTCTTGATAACTTTTTGACAGTGCGAGCCATATAGTCTCGTCTTGACAATATTTCCTTTGAAAATGTTTTGGTGGGATAATTATTATTAATGTAACTACACATATACAATATTTTACAAATAACTCTCAAAAAAATGAGCGAGTGTTTACATAGGAATAGCCAACTCGGTAAAAGTCTATGTAACTATTTTTTTGTGTCTAGAAACAAGATGTGATCACAGCGTAAAAAGGTAATAGTGGGTTATCGCCTTTGATATCTTAAGAAAAGCCGCCTCTGTCTAGACATACAACATTTTGGGGTTGGATTGTTTTGTGGATCCGATATACTTAGACGTCATATTCGTAATTAACACTGTTACTGTCTGAAAACGATTCGAACGAATTCGTCTTAGATCTCGAAATAGATATACCCAATATCCAAATACTTATTAATACTAAAAATGATTTTATTAAAAAGCTGTCCTATCTCCCCCAAAACTTTATCACGTCCGCCATCTTGGATTTCAAAATAACAAAATGTCATATTAAAATACAGAAGTATAGGCTGTCAAGTCGGGCCTATTCGTGCAGAGAAATGCATGGCTCTCAAACGTAACAAATTTACAATTTAAATTTGAATATATAAATATATTTAGTATTGCGCCGGGAAAAATTGCTTTGAAGAATCGAAGAAGCAGACAACTTGCCCATTTGTCAGCATTGTACAGGAGAGTAATGGCGGTGATCACCAGTTTCGGAGTTAAGCCCACCCAGAGTTACATTTCGTTCTGGTGATTTAAATTTTACAGTGAGTACATAAATAAAAAGGCATTGCTAAATTGTACTTTAAATTATTATTTAGGTCACAAAAAAAAAACAGAAAAAAGTGTTTACAATCAAAACGAATGAAAATGTTTGCGATTAAAAAGTCTCTTCTTGTGTTTCCTAATTGTTGCTTTAATTATGGCCACATGAATGCCATCAATATATGCAAATACTGATAGGATTCAGAATATCTTATAACACCTGAAATAAAATATGTATTGTTTAATTTTTATTTATTATAGAAAAGCTACTTACTACATTTCTTTAGATAAGAACAGTACTTCGTTTTAATAGCATACCATATCTATATGTTGCTGAAATATCACTTCTACTTTTTTTTGTCTTTAATTTTTTTATTTCCACTATAGTCCAGGAGCCACCAATCCTGAAAGCTCCGTCATCACGGATTCTAATATTTTTAATAAAAAATAAAAGTTAACGTTTAGACGAACAAGATTTGCTTGGTCAGCGTGGATTTGATTGGCCCTAAATATTTTAATTAAATTATTTATTATTAAATTGCCATCATTTTTTTCCGTTATCACGGATTTTCATCAATCTCATTTCGAGTGTTGTGTGAAATATTATGTTCAACAAGAAAAAATCCGGCCGACCAATGATTTTTAGCCGGAAAGGTCACACATACCTATTTGAATGGTGTGATAAGGGGTAAAATTTATCCATTATCACGGAAACCTTTTTTTTTATTCACTCGTTTTAATGTCATATTTATAATTATCTTGGTATGCTTACAAACTGCCGAAAGTATCGCGCATACAAAATTTTAACTTTTCGCTTTTTAACGGTTTCTATATTTCTGTAAAGAGTGAGTGAGGCAGATTTTTGGTTCAAGTTGAAACCTTGCATGAGTTCGTCTCTTTCTATTCCCTACCAATTTAACATTTACCTGCCTCCTACCTAAGATACACAATACCGCAAAGTGAGGTTGTTCTACGACAGGGCTGCATAGTGTTAACTCTCTTACTCCGGTTTCTGTTCAAGTCCAAGTTCAAGTATTACGGGGCCATTACAAAGCAGACCTACAGATTTTAATAAAAGTCTTAGTAATCCAAAATTCAAAGACGCAATAGTTACCTTTTTACATAATCATTGGACGGACACTACATGTAGCTCAATTATTAAAGACAGTTTTTTTAACAGTTGAAGACATGTGTTTTGTGTACACTCATAGTAATGGAATAATAACTCGAATACGATGAAAATTATGAATGCTACCATGAAGAAGCCGATACAAGAATTTTTTTCCACTTAAACAAATGTTCGCCTCAACAGTGTTAATTATTTGTCTCGGAAACATACATAAATTCAAAGAGCAAGAAGTATGGATCACAACCAAAATCAATAACGAAACAAATTACGTAAATTGTACACAACTCGCAGAAAAGATAGGTTCATCAGTCTGTCGAGCTCTCCCGGGCTTCCATGCTTTTACAGGTTGTGATTATACAGCAGCTTTTGTTCGTAGAGGAAAAATTAAAGCCTACAACCTCCTCTTAGAAAATGAAGAATATCAGAACATGTTCGAGCATTTGACAAATCCGGAAGACCATTTTTGTAAACGCAATGTGGCAAAATGCTACTGAACCTATTTGTACATTATATGATCTAACCGAGTGTGGATGGCAAGTAAATGAATCCAGTAAACTCGAACCATTGTAGTACATTGGCCCATCGGCACCGTTAAAGGTTGAGGAAATATTAAGTTGCCAACAGAATGAGGAAGAAAGCGAAGAATCAGAAGAAGAGAGAAATGATAATTTTGATGATAATGATGTAGATGATTATTGATTAATAAACTTGAATTGAACATATTTTTTGTATCAACCTTCATTTATTATATAATCAACCCAAATAATTTTTTTCCTGTATTTCCTCTTTTCCATATTAATTAGTATAATAAATAGTTAAAAACTTAAGGAAGAGACCAGAGGTAGAAGAAAGACTCTAAAAGAAATGTCATCAAGTAAGTGAAATCTATAACAGTATAATCCACACTCTCATATAATCCTCAAGAAAATTATAAATGTGACATTAAAACGCATGAATTAAAAAAAAAAGGTTTACGTGATAATGGATAAATTTTACCCCTTATCACACCATTCAAATAGGTACGCGTGACCTTTCCGGCTAAAAATCATTGGTCGGCCGGATTTTTCTTGTTGAACATAATATTTCACACAAAATTCGAAATAAAATTGATCAAAAGCCGTGATGACGGAAAAAAATTATGGAAATTTAATAATAAATAATTTAATTAAAATATTTCCGGCCAATCATATCCACGCCGACCAAGCAAATCTTGTTCTTCTAAACGTTAACTTTTATTTTTTATTAAAAATATTAGAATCCGTGATCACGGAGCTTTCAGGATTGGTGGCTCCTCGCCTACTAGAAAACACCTTGTCCGTATATCGCATCTTTCGCTGCTCATTTCGTCTTAGTTTTACGTAAAATATTGTACATTACTGCTAAACGAGCCACTTCTTTTTTTTTTTCTTTTTTCTTTTAAAACGGATGCACGGATGGCGTTGTGGTTTAAGCGGTCGCCACGCCGCTTCCTATTGCGCCGAGTGTTGTGGGTTCAAACCCCACATGAGACAACACTTTGTGTGATCCACAAATTGTTGTTCTGAGTCTGGGTGTACTTTGTGTCCGTTTCATGTATGTTTGTAAAGTGCTCAGCGACACAGGACTTTCTTCTTTTTTAAAAGAAAAAAAAAATAATTAATTAAAATCAAGAGTAAAGCATTATAATTATATTACTGTTTTGTCACTTAACCTACATAAGTATGTGAAGTACATTGTATGCGTTACTGCTAAATATTATTAATGTGTACATCTAGATATATTTTTTCATCTAGAGTAATCCTAAAATCTATACAGAGAATTAACCGAATTAAGGTTTACACCACATGACTTATATGAGAATTTGCATTTAAGTTCAAGTTTAATTTATTATCAGTATTTTGAGAATATATCAGGATCAACTTGGAATTTTTGATGATCTTTAGATTTTTGTATACTGTGATAATTCTTTAGATCGTCAACATACAACAGATACAAAACTTAAAACAGTGGTAAATATCATTTATAAAAATGATCAGGAACCATCATAGCGCTACATGCAATCTATTTAAAAGTTAAAAGTTGTTTTTTTTACACTTCTGTTGATTTTGCATAAACACATCGTATAAATAAAATTAATAAACTATTTCTGGCAATTTATGTCTGTGTTCATCTGAGAAAATTTAATTAGAATGTGTGTATTGCAGCTACATTATAGGTTTAACAAGGTAGAACCGAAAACTTTGACATGATTGAACAATAGTTCAATCATGTCTATTAGAGGACATGAGATAGAAATAAAAATTACATTTTAATAGCGAGCTGTAAGTAAATAACAGAAGAGAAGCCATCTTTTTTATCGCCTTAAAAGTTTTAACATACTTTCGGTTGTTATACTTTAACTAAACTTAGGTTCAGAAAGAATTCAGGTTATAAGGACCTTTCGCCATTGCTTAACCATATAATGTTATTAAATGGTTAAATTTGAGAGCGCCGAAGGAAGCGCGTAAGATAAAATACGTTGAAATAAAACTTTGTCAAATTTATTATGGAATAGATGGTAGTGGTTTAAGCGGTCGCCACGCCGCTTTCTACTGCGGTGAGTGTTGTGGGTTCGATCCCCACATGTCACAACATTGTGTGATTCTCATTGTTGTTCTGAGACTGGGTGTCTTTTCTGTTAGTTTCATGTATGTCTGTAAAGCCCCCGCGTCACAGGATATATTCCTAATGTGGGATTTGACTTTTTAAAACTAAAAAAATAATATTATAAATATACGTTTTTTATCACAAATCACCTAAGCCTAAGCACCTAAAATTTGGACACAAAGTATCAATCTGTAAGTGTTGAGTATGATATCAAATAAATCATTACGGCATCCGTACGTGCTTGCGTCAAAGTGCACACAAACACATTAGTATTCAAATATAGTTATATCTTCATCATGTGTTCACACGTGTGCGTGTGCATGTTAGCTGCCAATGAAATATATAAAAGATGACGACCCTATTTTTTGATTATCAGTCGCTCATCAGTTTCAGACTATAATTTACCAAAATGAAATCGGTACGTTGAATAGCAATTCAAGAAAAGTGCATAATTAAAATATACTATTGATAAGTCTAAGTAACGCAGATTATATTATTTTTGTGGTAACTGTTGTGGTGTTAAATTAGCTTTTAAATTTATAAACTCTCAAACTTGCGGGCCACTCAGGTGCGAGAGCGGTGGTTGAACAGGAGTGATGGTTTGGTTATAGCTTCATACAAATAAGGCGACGGTGATATTATAGTATTAACAGTTTTATCCGGCACTAATAGCTGCAGTCCCAAGCGCAGTCATATCGCCACTTGCCGAAACCTTCGCGTGACTGGGCTAGACCAAGGAACAGCGATAAACCTTTACAAATAAAAGCGTCAATTGTGAAAACTGATCGCTTCAGCGATTGTCCAAATATACTGCTCCTTTGTGATTCAAAAATTGACTCCTATTACTAACAGATATATTTTATTAATTCATTATATTTCTGTGTTTTGTGTAGATCATCTTCGTCACCTTTGCGATCGTAGCAATTGCCGTTGCGGCCCCACCTGAAGAGCCTTACAAGATCTTGCGTTCAGATTTCCAACAGCAACCGGAAGGTGGTTATGTTTACAGGTGTGTATGTACAGTACACTGTACAGTAATGAATGTTATTTCCATATTATACATTATTTGTCTCTCTCTATCCTCTGTCTATCCATTCGGGGCTTAAAGACGTGAGTAAATACACATTTCTTCATAAGTAAGCTCAGTTTTGGTTACGAAAAAATTGTGTAACAAGGTTTAATTTTTTTAATAGTTTTGAAACCGAGAATGGCATCAACCGTCAAGAGCAGGGAGAATTGAAGGAAGCGCTCGACGAAGAGAACAAGCCCCACCAAGTAGTCGTCGTTCGAGGATCCTACAGTTATAAAAATAATGAGGGACAGGTCGACACTATAAACTACTTTGCTGATGAGACTGGTTTCCATGCTGAAGGAGATTCCATCCCCAAGGTTCCTGCAAGGAGATAAGCTGCCAACGACCAGTAAATGAACTCGACCGTTAAGACTATTTCTGCAATGCTTTCTGCAAAGACCTCGAAACGTATTAAAAATATCGTCATTATGTGACGCTCACTGCCGTTTATTACGTTTTTATATATTTGTTGCAATTTTTTAATGTGACTTAATAACAATAAAGTTGTGTTGGAAGTCAACTTAGATTTTTTATTTACTTAAAAGTATGCAATGACACTTTTAGTTTTTTTCTTAAGACAGTCTAGTCTAGTTTTTAGTCTAAAACATAAAATAAAACTGTTTTTATTCATTTTATAACAAATTAATGTTTCCATGCTGTCGAAAGTGCATGCAGTGAGAGTAGCTCCGGCCATGGAAATATCCAGAAATTTGATCTGAAATAATAAACTATGAGTACCTTTGTATATATATTTAAAGACCCCAGATTTTACCTTGCTTTAGCGGGGTCTTTGTGTAATCGAATTTTATATTTTGTTTTAAACGGTTCTGAGAATCCGTCTGGAATTTTCATTTTTTGTTCCCTACGATGGTCAGCCTAATACGAATTCGCATCAAATAACTGAGCGGTTATCCAAAACTCATTGACATGACTTAGTCTGCTCGCAGCATGCGTGTAATCCACTACATAAGAGGGGTTCGTATTTCCAGGTTATTTATGAACATATTAGACAGACGCGGTGAGAGTACGCCACTATGGCGACAGCCTTACCTCCGTTGGCCACATGTGAATCAATTAACAACTTTACTATTTATTTACTGAGTAAACCGGTGATCCTGTGTATAAGCGCCTGTATCTGCATGTCCCGCTCATGAGCAGCTTGAACTTATACAACAGAATTGTTAAAGGTTCAAAAACAATTAATGACCTCTGAACGTTGATTCTGTAGAATATACTAATCCTGGTTGCTCTTATAAACTCCTAAATTAGTGCGGCTAAAATGTGATCAGATCAAACCGCTTTTAATTTATGATCTAGTTTACAGTGGAGAGCTCAAACAATCTTATACTACTGAGCTACTAGTGTACATCGTCATAGCAGATTACTGTCTGTGATAATTAATCAGGTGTTAAGTGTACTAACAGTTCAGTATTCCTATACTGAACTGTTAGTACACTTAACACCTATTCCAAATTGAAACGGCTTTCCATTCCCTAAAATGCATATTTTATTATTATACTGCTATTTGTTAATGCAGACGTACATGGAATGATAATTTTCTATGTTTGACATTAAGATAGACGGTAGCAGAATTAATAAAAGTACGTCTAGACGATTGTGGTACAGTTTGTGCATATTCTGTTACCAAAGTTATATATATAGAAAATTAACAGATTTTTAACTGAGAGTACCGATTTCATTTTGATTACTTTTTAAACGTGTCTGTCTAGTGGACAATTAAGCCTTTATTATATCTGTACCTATGAAATATTATTAGTCATTAAATTAATCAAAACGGTCTCTGAATATGAATCATCATATTAATGTAAATTTGTATCTTAAATTCTAGGTTGATCACTTTCAAGCTTGAACTTTCAAGATCAAGCTTTTTCGTTCATGGCACGGGCAATCAGGTCAAAGGCTATAAGTTGCTAACAGTTGAGTTCTTCTTCCCAAATATCTGTCAGAGGCGGAGGAGGACGAGGACTTTGGGCCTTCGATTTGGTAAGGAAACGAGACTTACTTGCAGAGATATGGCGAAAAATATGTAACGGTACGTTAAGTTAGGTTAGTATTGCGACTAACTACAAGTAAAAAAATAATTAAAAATGTCTTTTGTCATAATTTATGATGAGACAGATTTCTTTGTGCCATTTTATGTCTCAAATAAAATCCCAAAAAATATTTTTTTGTTAATTGACTCACTGATCATCAAATTTTATAGAATACTGCCTGAGGTCCCAGAATGCTGAAATTTGGTATGTAAGCTGGTTAAAAATATAAAAAATATAAAACTTGGAACTTTTGCCCCCTACCCCTTAAACTAGGGGATGGAACTGTGTATGAGACTTCCGTAAAATTTGTAGCTAGAGGTCTAAAAATTGATATAATATCGACTCCTTGTTATAAATAATAAATACACATTACATATTTCCGTATTATTATTTCCTTTCTAAGGGGAGGCCTATGTCCAGCAGTGGACTATTAAAGGCTGTTGATGATGATGATGATGATGATTTCCGTATTTTTAGTGAATCACCCATCCTTTAAATTAGCGAATGTGGTGAGTGTAGATACTCATAATACTACTTATGTCATTGTAGAGTAATTATTATACTATTATTGTGATAGGACTGTATTACAGGACATCTTTACATGCAATATATATAGGACTCGTAACTCGACGGTCCTTGGACTCCCGCTTCTTAAACCTCTTATATCTCCTAAAACATTCATTGTTATGATATAGAGCAATTGCAATCTATATTAAATGCACAACGTATTGTTTAAAATAGTTTCTTAAAGGGCCAATTTTTTTTTATAATATTTAAAGATAAAAATCGCTCTGGTAGGCCATCAACGTCTGCAACTGAAGTTAACATCACAAAAGTTAAGGAAATAGTAACTGAAAATCCTCATTCAACTTTGAGAGAGATAGCCGCCGAACTTTCTGTATCTCACGAGTCAATCCGTACAATTTTAACTAATCATTTGGATATGAAACATGTTACCGCTCGGCTAGTCCCAAAAGACCTGAATTTTCTCCAAAAACTCAATCGCATGAGAGACGCTGAGGACATGCTAGAACGAGTTAACAAGCTTCGGAGTGGCGCCTTCCAAATGAACCGAAATCGAAAAAACCACGCCAAAGTCGATCAAAAGTCAAAGTCATGTTGACTGTTTTCTTTGACTATCGCGGTGTTGTGCACTCGGAATTCTTGCCGGAAGGTCAAACGGTAAATAAAGAATATTATTTGAGCGTTATGCGGCATTTAAGAGAGCTAATTCGACGAAAAAGGCCAGATATGTGGAAAGAAAATTCTTGGATTTTGCACCACGATAACGCGTCTTCGCACAAGGCTATCATTGTGAACGAATTTCTGACCAAACACTTAACAAATACCATCGAGCAACCACTATATTCACCAGATATGGCTTCAGCCGACTTCTTTCATTTTCCTAAACTCAAATTACCACTTCGTGGCACCCGTTTTCAATCGGTAGAAGACATAAAGGAGAATTCGCGGCGAGAACTCAACTCAATTCCGGAAACAGCGTTTGAAAAATGTTTTGATGATTGGATTATTCGTTGGCGTAAGTATAGTTTCTGAAGGAGTATACTTTGAAGGTGATAAAATAAATTTAGATGAATAACAAACATTTTGTGTATCATTGAGCTTTTCCCGGTACTTTCTTGACAGAGTAGTATATAAAGATATGTATATTTTTAATTACAGGTATACATTAATCTTAAAGGTTCATAATTGCGTAACTCAGTTGTTTTCAGTGAGAACTGAGCCTACCGGTGACTAAAACGGGGTTTCGTGCCATCACTCACGAAATCACTTTCAAATTGGTGCTAGCTGGGCATATCCTTGAGGTTGAAGACAAGGAGACATGACCTGTATTATCAAGCCCGAGCAGTAACACATGGACTGAAAAGTCCCGGGCCTAACAAAGAAAACACAGTTTTTTTGGTTCAAAATTAGCTTTAATCATCAACGTAATCTCCATCAAGAGCAACGCAATCATTCCAGCGCCACTCTAACATTTCAATACCACTTTTGTAGAACGATTTATCTTTTGTCTCAAAATAGGCCTCAGTTTCAGCGATAACCTCTTCATTCGTGCGAATTTTTTTACCGGTGAGCATTTTTTTCAGGTCTGCGAACAGCCAATAGTCGCTGGGAGCCAAATCTGGCGAATACGGTGGATGTGGGAGCAATTCGAAGTTCAATTCATGTAGTTTTGCCATTGTTTTGATTGACTTGTGACACGGTGCGTTGTCTTGATGAAACAAATTTTTTTTCTTTGTCATATGCGGTCGTTTCTTCGCAATTTCGGCCTTCAAACGCTCCAATAACGCTATATAATATTCACTGTTAATGGTATTTCCTTTCTCAAGATAGTCGATGAATATTACACCACGCACATCCCAAAATACCGAGGCCATAACCTTTCCAGCCGATTGTTGTGCTTTCGGGCGCTTTGGACGAGGTTCACCAGTTGCTGTCCACTCAGATGACGATCGTTTTGATTCCGGAGTAAAGTGATGGATCCATGTTTCATCCATTGTCACATATCGACGCAAATATTTTGGTTTGTTACGTTTAAACATGGCCAAACACTGTTCAGAATCATCAACACGTTCTCGTTTTTGGTCAACAGTGAGTAAACGCGGCACCCATTTTGAACAGAGCTTTCTCATAGTCAAATGCTCATGCAATGTTAAGCCAACACGTTCTTTTGATATCTTTACGATGTCAGCTAACTCACGCAACTTCACTTTTCGATCATTCAAAACGATTTTGTGGATTTTTTGTATGTTTTCTGGTTTTACCGCCTCATTTGGACGTCCACTGCGTTCTGCATCATCGGTGTCTCTACGACCACGTTTGAAGTCAGCAAACCAACGTTTTATTGTTGTTTCTGATGGAGCGGAGTCCCCATAACACTTTTCAAGCCATTGCTTGAACGGTATTTTTTCCCATCAAGAAGCAGTGTAAAATTAAAACACGAAATTGTTTTTAATCCATTGTTTTGAAAATAACAAAAGTAGCGTCACTCTTAGCACAATAACTCACAAACTAATGAATAGAATATCCTGAAATTCTAACAGCTGTCTTTTGAAGGTTAGTATTAACTGAAAAAAAGGTGACTGCAATAAAACTAGCGCCATATATGTGTTAGGCCCGGGACTTTTCAGCCCATGTAACAGCCTTGGTGTCTCATAATTTTAAAAGCCTTAATAATATTTGTATTGATGTCTATTTCTCTTTAAACTTCAGCATCACATGTTTCTTTACCGTAAAATATGTACCTGTTACAGGTAAACGTCTGTTTTGGATTTTGTATATTTTTAGAAAATATAGGTCCACTTGACATTCAGTATCAATTTTTAAATTTACACTATTTTCCAGCAGTTTCAAAACCAATTCACTTGAATTATTAGGATGGACTTCTGCTTCTACTGTTCTCGTGCTCCTTCGTTTCATATAACGTTGAAACGTCGACATTGCCGCATTTTCGTCAATCCGTTTCGATTTGTACACAGGAGGTTATTTAACTTTGGAACATAACTGGGACTGGCTTCCTCATCGGCTTTTCTACCTATAATAAAGTATGCACTACAAATTCTGTCATCTGACTTTGGCTGCCACAGGGATCCATCGGGATTGTAACATAGTAATTCACCGTAAATTTTCAATTTAATACTTGTGTCAAATGATTATGTACTTTAATTAAATTTTAGAGGTTAGGTGACTTACTTTTTTTTTCTTACGGCAATTATCCACTTATTTCTTTGGTCTCGTTTCCACCACAGGCTATAACAAAAGGCACCTTTGCTGTGCGAGAAATGTACCCGAAAAAGAGGAAGAAAAATGAACAAACCAAAAAAATTACGTTGGTCACACTGAAAGATTTGACTACTCCCTAGGCATCGTCCCGAACTGCTGGAAGGTAGCGTTTGTGCACCCGATCTCTAAAGAAGGTGACGGCTGTGATCCCTCCAGCTACAGGCCTACAGCCATTACCCTCTTGTTCTCTAAGATTATGGAACCCGTAATCAACTGTCAGCTCCGCCGGTACTTAGAAAATTACCAGCTACTCTGAAAAAATGAAATTAGTGAAAAAATTAATGAAAATCACCGACAATATGGTTTTCGCCGGGGTCGCTTAGCTGGTGATCTTCTCGTTTATCTAACACACCGATGGGCACAGGTGATTGAGACCAAGGGAGAGGTTGCTGCGGTCAGCTTGGACATAGCGAAGACCTTCGCTCGGGTCTGGCATAAGGAGCTTCTTGCAAAGCACTCTTCCTATGGGTAAAAATGCTATGCCGAGAAATTATGTAACTGGGTACCAGTTACATACAGACCTTGCAGACAGAAGCATCAAGGTCGTCATAAACAGTGTTTGCTCCGACTTGAAATCTGCAAATGCTCGTGTCCTAGTATCGGAATTCAGGCATCGACATAGCGAGTAGAGGTCCAGTTTCAGGGTCACTTAGAAGGTAAGGTCCAATTGGCCTCGAAGAAGCTCGGTGTGCTGAACAGATCTGTCACTAGGTATTTCACCTCGGCCCACCGCCTCCAACTCTATAAGGCGCATGTCCGGCAACATATGGAATACCGTTCTCATCGCTATGCAGGGGCACCCCAGTCCCACTCCCTCTTTACCGTCTGCATCATCGATAGCCAAAAAATCTCCGTCCGGCTTGATGCCTTAGCGTTACGTAGAAATGTAGCTTCTCTCTGCATTCTCTATCGTATATATCATGGAGAGTGTTCCGAGGAATTGTTATGACTAATACAGATCGCAACTTTCCGCCATCTTTAAACACAGAAAAATTTTTGTTCGCAGCACTTGGATAATTGGCACTCCACCACCGTGCGCTTTTACACCAATCTGTTTAATATCGTCTATCGTCTATCGTTCGAAATACCGCTATTTCGGACTGATAAGACCTTCAAACTTTCAAGAAAAGAGCGTAATCCTTCCTCAAAGGCCGGCAACGCGCTTGTAACTCCTGAGTTGCAGGCGTTCATGGGCGGCGGCAGTCGCTTTGTATCAGGTGACCCGTCTGCTCGTTTGCGCATTCTTCCATAAAAAAAAAACAAATGTAACCGTAAACTTAATTATTATGAAAAGAATTTAAACTATCCTGAGTGTAATAGTAATGATTTGATATTAGTAAAAAATGAGGGTCTGGTTCAAATTGTTACTAAAATATGCAATAGGTAGATATTGTATAATCATGATATTAAAACAGTTAATTATTAAGTAAAAATATCTAATCATGGAACAAATTTGCGACCTGTTTATATACAACATTTCATCTTTAGTTTTTTAATTAGTTTGGTTTTATTATACTATTTAAAACCAATTTGAATAAGACTGACGAATTTTAACTGTGCTTGAAATCTATTTCATTCTACAAATAAGTTATTTTGAAGTATTTTTTAAAACTTTGCAGGTTTTTTAAAAACCTTTGCTAACTTTCATAAAAACCTTGATTGTACGTAATGGTTATAAGTAAAAAAAATAATAATAAAATAAACAGGTACATCGATTCATCGATCAATTGAACGCAGTTAACTACATCTCTAAAATAACCAATTTTAGTTAGTACTAGTTAACTGCGTTCATTTTTTCAAGGTTTCGTAGTCTTGACCAGGAAGTTCTATATCTTTAAAATATTAGTTTGCATGTTCTTATTATATCAAGTCGAAAAAGCAGTGAAAAAGAATTGTCTCAAAAATTGTCTCTGGCAAATTTACATGGTTTGAAGAACACCACGGGGATAGTAGGTTTTTAAATTATTTCTAAAATCAATACAATAATATGTTGTCTTCGAAATAGTATAAGATGTTTTATTCATTTTTAGGATATTATATTTAAATAAAATAGTTTATTAATAATAGCCACTACCATACACATACAATTAATTACAAAAATATGTAATTCATGTAAAAATATTAGGATTTTAAAGTGTTCACGCCTGTCTTGTTATAGACTAAAGAATCCGGATTTGTCACCATACGCTTTAGACAGTACGTTAGAAATGTATAAAAGATTCTGTCGCAGTCGTCTTCGTATCAGTCGCACATCACGTAGCTACCGAAACAAACTTATCAACATGAAATTGGTAAGTATTTTATATGTAATAAATAAAATAATGATTAATATAGAAGATAATCTTGTTATATTTTATTATTATTTTACTTAATGTTGTTACTTATATTATACTACTATCCGGCTACACCTACCACAAGACTCACTACAATTTGTACTCACTTAACAGCCGCAGGCAATATCTTGATGCAATTCTTTATAAGTTGTACATTGTCTAACCACACAGACTGCCTATCTTTAAGTAAACTATCACGTCTACCAAGGATAGGAGCCTACAACCTATTCTCTCACCGTTCAGCAAAATCAAACTTGAAATTATAATATAAGTAAAAATACTTAAAATATAAAGGTCCCTAAAAATATTTTTTTTAGTAATATAATAATAATATTGTCTACCTTCTTTCTAAGGAGAGGCCTATGTCCAGCAGTGGACTATTAAAGGCTGTTGATGTGTGTGTGTGATGTGACCTACATGTTCATTTGCTATCCGTAATTACCTACATCAAAATTGTGTTTATGATATTGATTGATGTGTGATTATGTATGTAATATGTAATACATAGGTTTAATATAACTTGTTACTAATGTTTGCTTGCACCGAAAGATTACTGTTAATGTTAACTGTAAATTATAACAAATGTGTCTAGCCTTTGTATCGTAAGATGCTTAAATTAAGTAAATAAATAAGTAAAGAGAAACATTAAAATTCAATTAAGGTTTGTATATTTTGTCAGATTTGCAGTAATCAAATAGTCCTACATTTAAAATGAAATAAGTTTAGTGTCTTATGTTTACGGGTATTTATGCGCTCACAATAGGTATTAAGTAAATGTTTGAATTGCCTGACGCGTTAATTCCCATAAACATAATTACATATTATGTTAATAGTACATTAATAATAATACAATAGAAGTTAGATTTTCTTCCTTTTCTATACTATAATAATATTTTCTTATCTTTATATAGATCCTTGTTGTCACGTGTGCCTTCCTGGCCGTGGCTGTGGCCGCCCCGCCAGAGTCCGAACCTGCCAAGATCCTGCGCGCGGATTTCGACCAAAAACCCGACGGTTCCTACCATATAGAGTAAGTATCATTTTATCTCTTAATTTTCTTTCATTTACAAATGTGCGCTGACAGTATTTTTATCACTTATACGAGTATATATGATAATGACTAAATTATACCTATTTCATCCTTAGTAAGTAGTTAAAAGTTTAGTAAAATGATTTCACAAGATCTTACATTTTGTTATTTGATGAGTTATCAGTAAATGTATTTATGTTAATTACAGTGTGGAAACTGAAGACGGATACAAACGTGAAGAAGAAGGCAAGTTGGTTGAGGTCAACAACGAAGAAGGCAAGCCCGTAAAAGTGCTTGTTGTCCGCGGCTCTTACAGCTACAACGACCCCGATGGCAATATTCAGAGCATCGCTTACTCCGCTGATCAGAACGGCTTCCAAGCTGATGGCCCCTCCGTTCCCAAAAACCCTCCACCTAGTAGGAGATAATCACTAAATAATCTAGAAATAAAGCTATTCTTAACGTAAGAAGATTACTGCCATATTCTGACTGATGTGATGGTTAACATTATTCGTTTTGTAAATAAAGTGCTAGGCCAAAAAAAATTTTTTATTTAATTTTCTTTATTGCAAAAGAAAATTATACATAGAAAACACCTAAACTCTAAAAGGAATATTTGCAGTTCACACAAACATTTGGTCCGACCCATTAATCGAACCCAAGACCTTAGCCAGCAGTCGCATACACTACCACTGAACCACCGAGGCAAGCTACTTAATTTCATTTTAAGGAAATATTAATGTGCTATTGCTACGGTGCGGCGGCAACGTATTGGATAGTAGTGTAAAGACACCTTCACATTATGATTACTGATATGAAGAATAAAATTATAAATATGACTTAGATAACATAAATTTTAAAAAAACTTAAAGTATTTGATAAATCTTGATTTTATGCGTTGAGTTTTTATTAAGATATATTGATACGTATTACCTCATTAAAATGCCCGAGGCATTTTAATGAGGTAATAGCATAGTCTCGATATAGATTATTATTATTAGATTTAAAGTATAAATAAACAATTTACCTACTATGCTGAGTGTTGTGGGTCCGATCCCCACATGGGACGACACTTTGTGTGATCCACGAATTTTTGTTCTGAGTCTAGTTGCTCTTTGTGTCCGTTTCATATACATATGTTTGCAAAGTTCCCCGCGACACAGGATATATCCCTAATGCGGGCGGTCTTTTTTAAAAAACAAAAAAAAACTTTACTAATATTATAAAGAGAAAAGAATTGATTTTTTGTTTGTTTGTTTGTAATGGATAGGCTCCGAAACTACTGGACTGATTTCGAATATTCTTTATCATAACATATTTTATTTTAAAAACAATTAATTTCCCATAATAATAACAATAGTTTGAAGCCATGTATAAAAAATTGCCATAAATATTGGCTTTCTGAGCTGTAATAATTATTGTATATAAAAAAATATAATACATGAAAACAATAAAAACATTTTTAGCGTACTCATCAATGTGCATAAAAAGTCGGCGATGTGGTGGTTAAAAACAGCAAAAAGAAAAAAAAATCTTTGACGAATATCAATAAAAAAATATGACTAACTGTCATAGATCTATGATATCTAGAAAATCTATGACACTTATACTGCAGATTTGTTAAAATATGTACGTACGAGTATTCTCAGCTATCTAACAAAGTATAATAGTCTAGAATAGTATCAGAATTCATAGATACTTATTAGTATACTAGAGTACTTATTGTGGGGTCGAGACGCTAGTCATGGGGTCCGAGTGCTCGTGCTAGGTATAAACAACTAGCTAAGCAATTGATCGACACTTCTTGGCCGGCATTTTTCTAGCTTTAATATTGCCAATTTAATATGGCAATGCTCCCAGTCTTTCATTGAGTCACTGCTTTAAAATCTAAAATTATTATTAATAATATATAAAAACATAAACTCAACAGTATTGGGTGAAGTTACATGCAAATTAAAATAGTTTTTTCAGTGTTGTTTAAAATTGGAGTCATCATCCACATGCACAAGGTGTGTCACAAAGTAATTTTAACATTTTGTAATAAATTGTATAATATAATAAAACATTTTTAAAACTACTTGGCTACTAATTGACTGATACAAAACAAAATATTATAGAAATGGTTTCTAGACATTGTGCATTTTATTCTAACAAATAGGGTATTAAGTTTAAACTAAAATAAAATGAATTTACTGTTATCACGTTGTCGTCGTGGGGGTTTCCGACCACTCGAGTTGTCCAACTGGTTGGTCAGTTAGTAACAAAAGATATTAAAATATTCAATACCTATAAATATTAAAAAAATAGAAAGTTGCATTATATATTTTTTTAACAGAATAGCTGAAAGTTCTTAAAAACGATGCACATTTCTATACTGTTGCATGTAGGGTAACTGGGTAAACACTGGGTTACGGTGACGGGTAAACACCGTGTGGTGACGGATTAAGAATACACCAGTGTCACCATCCCTATTCGTTCCACGGGTGTCGTAAGAGCCGACTATTGGAGGAAACTACGCAGCACAACACCACTGCAGATAGAAGGAAAACTTGACACAAACCCTATACCAACCCGTCTGGCCAGCATAGTAAAGTAGGCCAAAACCTCCTTCCCAAGGAGAGGTCTATGTCAGCAGTGGACTATTAAAGGCTATTGATCTTAAAATTGATTAATCAGATTGCTTTGAAATTTAGTTTGATGTATTCGGAGTTTTTGAAGCTATAGTCAAACCGCCGTAAACTTGACCCTCCTGATGGTTTGCGGGACGTAGGGCGGTGGTACGCACAACCAATCAGCTAGTGTGTCGCTGTCCGCCGGCAGTGACTGACGTGAAAGCAAAGCCGTACGTGTTATTTTTCTTTAGACTGCTACACACGGTATTATTTTGCAACATGGATAATAATAATAATTTTGTATTCATCGTCATTTTAAAATATGTAGGTACTTTTATTTTGTCTAAGATTCCAGAATGTAATTTGGATACATATTAGGAATTTAGGAAGTATTTATTTTTTAAGGCACCGATATCAATGTGAATAAAGCAATATCGAAAGCTACAAGTGTTTCTTTGTTGACGGTAAAAAAAGTGTTATCGCTAAGTCGATCGTCAGAAAATTTAGAATAAGTGATTAAATCACCAACCAAAAACAGAAAACGAAATCCAAAAATAGAGGTGGATAATTTTACCGAAGGTATTTAATAACTCAAGTAATATATTATATTTTTTATAACTCGTCAAATCCAATAAAAAAGGTAGTCATAATAAACAACATACCAAATAAAGCAAGGATATATAAAAGCGAGATGAAGCTATTTCTTAGTTTGAAAATTATTTTGTGGCCTTTGTATTATACATATAAAATCTAATGTAGGTACCCTTTTTTTCAGGCGTTATAAGAAGAAAAATTCACAGTTACTATGCCTATAAAAAAGAAGTGCCAACTATAAAAAGACTTATTAAGGACTTAAAAGATGACAGGATATTAAATTGTGGTCGCGAATTTTTGAGAAAGCACCTTCATAGAATAGGGTTTGAATGGAAAAGGTTGCAATCTAAAAGATGCTTACTAATGGAAAATATGGATATTATGCACAAAAGACAAATATATCTGTTAAAAATAAAGAAACAAAGAGAGGATGGAAAAAAATTGTATATGTAGATGAAACCTATGTAAATTCTTCACACACTATATCCAAGTGCTGGCAGTCTCAAAAACACAAAGAAAGGGGACACTTAAAAGAAATAGGCGCAGGGCCACGACTAATTATCGTTCACGCTGGAGGAAAGGAAGGATTCGTCAATAGTAGTCTCCTCATATTTAGATCAAAATCAGCAAATCAGGTGACTATCATGATGAGATGAATTTCCAAAACTTCAAAAAATGGACAGAGGAAAAGCTAGTACCAAACCTACCATCTCATTCAACATTAGTATTAGACCACGCTTCGTACCATAACGTTGAGATTGACAAAAAGCCTGCCAAATCAGCACTGAAACAAACAATGCTTGATTGGCTACAAAGGCATAATACTGAATGTAATTCAAACATGTATAGATCACAACTTTATCATTTGATCCAGTCCGTGCATATCGAAAAAAATAATTGTGGTTGATGAAATTTTAAAAAGTCACGGTCACGAAGTGTTGCGTCTGCCGCCATATCACGCGGACTTGAATCCTATAGAGTTGGTAGGGGGTCGCGTGAAAGGCCAATTGGCGTCATCAGATCTTACCACCAATTTAACGCAAAAGTGGGAAAAGCTAGAACAAATATTTTCCGCCTACACACAAGCTCCAAATGGTCCAAATGTGTGGAACATGTTATTAAAGTGGAAGACGAATATATACAAAAAGATATACTAGTAGACAGAAACTACGACTTGTTTTGCTCCAATGAGGTCCAGGTTTTTCACACTAAAGTGTGTTTAAACACACTTTAGTGTGAAAAACCTGGTTAAGCCATAATATTTCTGTTGCCATTTCACATTGGAGCAAAACAAGTGGAAGGAAAATATATTTTTTCTGGTTATAAAAAACCTCGTGCCTGACCCAAAATCCGAAAGTGTCTTTCGAAATAAGTTGTAAAGGACGAGGTATATTGTGGTTAGTTATGACGCCGATTGCTACAGTGATGACAAAAATGATCTAATAATAAATACGTCCAAAGCAGGTCTTACGATTTGAAGCTGTGTAATGTATTTCTTCCACCACTGGCGCACCCACTGCGGTCTCACGATGGAGATCAGGTAGTAGGTGTACATAACAGCGTGGACTGTCGAGTTGATGAAACCCAGCATTATGCCGTGACCACCTGTTGAAAATTTAAATTGTGTGTACTTTTTTCCTGTAATTTATTTAAAAGTAAGTATAAATACTTACTTTAAGACGCCGGCAGACAACGGAGGCTAAATTTTGAATTGATCATTGTGTGCATTCCCAGTAGCGATACTATACGTAGCGGGTTTAAACTCTCCTTGGTATGTCATCCTAAGAGTGCTTAGAAACAAATATCGGGAGTAGTAGAATTCTGTGCCCATTGCAACTGCTCCTCTAGCATCTCATCTAGTACTAGACTGGCCCGGAGTGGAGAACTATATTTATATAGTTATATTATACTATTAACTAACTATACTATTTGATAATTACCCGAATTAGTTGCAAGAAAAAAGAAAAAAAAGTTTATTAAATATAAATAGCCCTCATATTTTTCATCGTAATCAGTAGCTTCGGATTTGGTGGAGAGTACAAGAGTCAGCTCAGCACGGACATTATAAAAAACATTTGCATTTCATATGAAGATGATAAACTTCCCAATAGGTAAAAATATACTTTATTGTCCTTCTGACAATTTACGAAATCATACAAAGATTTTGGGGAGTGCACTGATGATTTGTGAATGTAGGTTTGCGTATCTTATGTATTGAAAACTTATGGGAAGACCCATCATCAGAATCTTCAGATGAAGAATATTCGAGTGACCAAGAAGATTCGGATTAATAGTGATTATTTGAATGAACGTGAAACGTTTGACGTGAAAACGTGAAACCCTACTCATTCCGTACGTGTCGTTATAGCCGACCTGCAAGAGAAGGAAATCTTGAAACAAACTACACCAACCCGTCTGGGCAGTGTTACATAATATGTTAGTTAGCCAAAAACTCCTTTCTAAAGAGAGGCCTATATCCAGCAGTTAACTATTAAAGGCTGTGGATGATGATGATGAGAAGTTGTCGATTTAATAAATATCAGACATAGTTTGGTTCTAGTGTAATACATATTAACTTTACAGAGGTTCTGTTGTTTAAAGTTAATAAAGAATATTTATTATTTTACTTCATTATTAAATTATATCTGAATTTAATACGAGTATACATAAAGAGAAGGTGATTTTATTAAAATTACTGAACAAGTATAAAAATCTTACAATTAATCATAAAAACTTACAATAAACTAAAATAATAATACGTGGAAAAAAAATCTATTTTTATGACATCGTGTGTAGATGAAATCTTAAACAAATAAAACTGAAGATATCGAATTCGTACATCGTGTCGTGTATAGCCGAGCGCATCACCCGCCCCGCGTCCCGCAAACCATCAGGAGGGCCAAGCTTACGTCGGTTTAACTATAATGGTACCTAGCCACACCACATGCCACACTACGATATTTTATGACGATATCCATAAGACGTGCCCAAACACTGACAGCAATTAAGAATATGGTCAAAGACGACCGAATGGCGTAGTGGTTTGTGTAACGGACTGCTATTCCAAAGGTCGCGGGTTCGATTCAAACATTTTTGTGCATGAACATTTAATGTTTGATTTGGTCTGGGTGTTTCTATGTATAATAAGCATGTATTTACAAAAAAAGGTGTATATGTATTTATACCAGTTGTCTAGTACCCATAGTACAAGCTCTGCTTAGTTTGGGACTAGATGGCGTTGTGTGAATGTGTGTGTGAATCACTACTTAGGTTCTTGAGTACCTACTCTTTGCTTTCAATAAACATGACTAAATGATTTCATGGTTATAGTGGTTATAGTAGTGGTTAGTGATAGAAGGGGCAACACATGCTAATTCGACAGCGCCTGGGAATTGCGACCCAGGTATTGGTTTAGGGGGTACTCCTTGCGACGCGTCGGCACTCACCTCCACTGTCTGATGTGTTACCCCCTCTACCTAACCATATTTGATATGAGCTTAGCAATGGCGCTTTGGATTTTCGTTTAATAAAAGAGCTTACTGAAGCTCTAGGCAATCTAAGGCCTTTAAGCAGATTATACCACTTCCACTGCATACAACGCAGCGACATTACCATTTTTAGTTATTTTTTGGTTAAGTCAAAGTACTTATTTCTTTTTAAAGAGTGGTCTTTAAGGATGTTCGTTGTCCATGCTTAATTTAAATTGCATAAAGAAATATGTCTGCTCTGGACGCCGAGGCACAGATTTCCTCCAGATTTCTTTAATGATTTTCATACGTGTCCACTAATAATGTCCAGTCACTGGCGGTATTTATAATTGAGAACGTCTTTGTCTTTTTTGTCTTTTCCTTTACAAGCGCGATGTTAGTTTTTTTTTGGTGTTATTCCTTTTTTCGCTCTCGCCAGTGATAAACTTATAGTATACTTCGCGTATGATTTATAATATCTTATCATGGCGACGTGTATAATGACCCCGGACTAATAGCTGCTAGTAAGTGCTAGCCACTTACTGACAGGTTGTTGTACATATTTCCGCACTGGACATCGTACAAGCTTTTTCTGTAGCTTTTCCCCACCTTACTAGGTTGCTTTGATCGGGGAGAGTCAATTGAACGGCGTTGAGGTAAATTTTTAATAAGGCAGGTGACCAATTGTATAAAAGTGTGCGCCATTTCAAAGCTGGGCTCAGTGAACACTTACACTGCCACCGAGTAGGCTGTAGGGACTGTGTCTCCTTGGACATCCTAACCCCGGAAGGAGTGTCGTGGTTATGTCTCGCGACTCCAATCGGCTGCTAGGGTCTTGGCTTAGCCGCTTAGACTGTGAGAAAGAAAACCTATTTAAAAATTACCCCGAATCCCGTGTTCTGGTGCGTGGCTAAGGGATGCAGTCACAATTGCACTCCCAGTCGGTGTACCTGCGGACATTGGGGGATTTCTGCCCGGTTTCTGGTGTCGTTGGACATCGCCAACGTATTCAATAGTAAGCCATTCCGCTGCATTAGGGAAGCAGACCATTACCACGGGGTGCCAGCCAGCAGTTAGCCTGCCGCCTCAGGTACTAGGCGGCAGATTAAAGGAGCGTACCGTCATGTACGAGGACCGAAATGGTGTTTTGTGTCGTTGGCCCGTGTAGTGTGGTGTTCTGCAGGGGTCTGTTCTATGACCACTCCCGTGGAACATAGAGTACGACTGGGCTCTTCGATGTCGCTTTCCTTCCTGGCTGGGCGTAATCTGTTATGCTGACACAGCTTAGGAGTCGAACTTTGAAGAGGCGGCGCATCTAGCCACCAAGGGAGTCTCTCAGCTGGTCGGGTGTATTGAGGCACTGGGCTTACGGGTGGCCCTGTATGAGACGGAGGGTCTCGTTTTCCATAGGCCCCGTTGTGGTTCATCCCCCGTGGTCACTCGTACCGGTTCAGGTCAAGATGAAATAGCTGGGCCTGATCCCTGATGGGAGGTGGGCACTTCCGAAAGCTTGCTAAAAGGTGGTCGGCGCTGCGTCTGCCCTTGGGCGACTTTTACCTAATTTAGGTAGTGGAAAATGTCATTTCGCTGAAGGTGCGGCGGAGAGGGCCCGGGAGATAGCCTCCACTTGGACCGCGAGTGGACGGGGACGGGTTTTCCCCTCTTTAAATAGAGAATTAACCCGAAGGTGGTGACCGCACTTTGCGGGAAGCGCTAGGAAGGGTCTAGATCTCTTAATGACAGAAGTTCCCGGCTCTCTTTTAGGTGCAGAGTGGCACACCGTGTGGTTTTAGTCGGTCCGATTACAACACACCACCCCGCCGCAAACCTCAGTAGGGCGACAGACCGAGGGGGCTTCTATATGTTATTGAGTTGCATTCTTATTCTGTCAGAACAGGGAAATAACAAGAACTACACCTGCTTGGGAAGCACAGACGTTTTCTATTGTTTTACAAATACATACCAAGCAAGTAACCTCCATCCTTTTAAAGAGTCGGCTAACACTTCCAACAGCAAAATAGGGTTGTTTATGAATTTTAAACGTCAAACAAATATCATTGACAATATGTTAATATTTAACCTTAAAATATTCCAAATCCAATATCTTTTTCCCAGACTTCTTTCGCTAGTAATTTTGTAATGAGAATGGTCACGAAAACTAATAAGTTTAAACGTACTCATTAGGTATGTTCCATAACCTGATGAGCACGTTTAAACTTATTATTTTTCCATCACTTTGTTTCTAAATTCGATGGGTAAGTAAATGGTTCATACAGAGATGGCAATTTCATGTATCATTTAATATATCAAGATTTCTTATTTATTTATAGGAGTCAATTGTCAAAAACTTTTAAGGCCTAAAGGGTGAAGTATGTCGTTTAATGATTAAATACTGATCTACCGAGATTGATAAAGCAATCACTTCCTGAACATTGTAAATACATAGTAAAGAGCATACAATATTTACAAAGGCTTACCCTTAAAGTAATGATAACTTATACTCAAATATAATGATGGCTGTAGTCGCAAGCCGCAAGTGAACTACATAGGATAAAAGCACTGCAAAGAGAAGGAAAACTTAAAACAAACCCTATACCAACCCGTCTGGCCAGCGTGGTATAGTAGGCCAATACTTCCTTTCTAAGGAGAGGCCTGTGACTAGCAGTGGACTGCTAAAGGCTGTTGATGGATAGATAGATGACCTAAGGTATTATAAAAATGACGAAGCGACGGGCCTGTTGGTCTAGTGGTTAATGACCTTGAATATTTGTGTGATGAACACGATCGTTTGTTCTGTCTAGGTCTAATTTATCAATAATATGTATGTATTTAGAAATATGTACATAAGTCTGTTTATCAGCAGTCTGGTTACCATAGTAGAGGCTCTGCCTAGTTTAGTATCAGACAACCGTGTATGAGATGTGTGATGTATGGCGTTATAATTATAAAGTAAAGTAAATTTTTCCTGTCATATTATTTGAAACAAATCACAAAATGTACTTTTATGACTAGGCCTTTATTTCAATAATGTGTACAAGTTTTAATTGTAACTATATATTATACTACACAATCTGAGATTACGTTCTAGTATTTTTTTTGTAGTTTTTTATTCATTTATTATCATAAAATAAAAATATAGTAGTAGTTTATTGCTCATCTCCGGCTGACTTCGGGGTTTTTGGGGATAGAGGGACCCTCAGCGTGGAAGCCGTCCTGATCAGCAATGTAGGTGATTTGCTGATCATTTCCATCGGGGTCGTTGTAGCGGTAAGAACCGGTGACAATGATAACTTTTACGGGTTTGCCTTCTTCGTTAAGGACCTCCTTTAGTTGACCACTCTCCTCACGCTTGTTACCGTCGCTAGTTTCAGAACTGTAAATGGTTGTAATATACGTTATATATAGGTACTTATAAAGCTCACTAGTTAAATATCTTATTGTACATTTTGTAAATTTGATCACCTACTTTATTTTTGTTTTTTAATGTAACAGTGTTATACAAGTAAAATATAATTCATCAACAGCCTTGAGTTGTCCACTGTTGGATATAGGCCTCTCCTTAGAAAGGTAGAAAGGAGGTTTTGGTCTACTAATACCACGCTGGCCAGACGTTGTCATACGTAGTGAGCTCCTTTAGTCAACTCTTACGACACCCACGGAACGAATAGAGGTGATGATTATTGGTGGTAATTTAATATTAGAACCGTCCCAGTAAAATTAAGTTATTAGTTATTAAAGTTAGTTAATTATCCGTGTCGCGACGGTATATACTCGTATGTTATATACGGTGAAATAGTTGTTAGACTACCTTTTAAATCTAATAATTAAATTCAAAGGGAATGAGGAAAGTGCCAATAAATGAAAATATTAATTACATAAATGTGTAGGAGCCGTCAGGTTCTTGCTTTACTTCGTAACGCACGACCTGGGGTGGTTGTGGTTCCAATGGAGCAGCGACGGCGACTGCCACAAGGGCGCAAGAGATAACAGCGAGCTGAAAATAGTTAAAAAACTAAAAAAACTGTCAAGTTATACCGTAACAGTCTCGAAGGAATAATACAGATTAAGTTCATACCACAGTATGAATTCATAAAATGATTTTTATAATATTATCAGATTACTATAAAATTTCAGGTAAATCAAGTTATTATCACAGTTTCTGCTGTTTTTGCGAACTTACCAATTTCATTTTGATTGGTTTCCTTTAGTAACTCCGAGTGCGACATCAACTGATGCCGAAACAACTGATACATAATCTTTTATACCTACGCCTAAAATGTACTGACAAAAGTGTGTAGTGGTTAATCCAGCTTAACTTGTAGAGACGTGAATAATTAAATAATTAGTCAAATCAAAGTGAATACTTATACGTATTATATTATAAACATGCATCTATAAAATTCAACTCCGGCGCTACTCAAATTGGTATTCCCCCGATTCTACTGCCAGACGTGTTAATGTATTATATACTAATACTAGTGTTCGTTTTAAACAAACAAACAAATAGTGAATCTCGATTTCGTTGTGTTAATCTTATATCTGATTGATTATTTCAGTAAGAGTAGCCAACAATGAGTAACCATATGACTGGCCTGTTGTTCTAGTGGTTAGTGACATTGATTGCTAAGCCGAAGGTCGTGGGTTCTATTGCCACCGAGGACAAATAGTTATGAAATGAAAATGATAATTTTTCTGTGTCTGGGTATAATTTATCCATAATGTGTATGTATTTGGAAATAAATTAGTAGGTTTATCAACATAGCATATGCTCTGCCTAATTTAGGATCAGACGACCGTATGTATGTTGCGTTAAGTTATTATTAAGAAAACGGCGTGAGGTGTCTATGGACCCCGGTTGGAATGAAGTTCCTTTCGCTTTTTGGTAGACGTTTTCTATGCATCTAATATATACAATTCTCGTGTCACGGTGTGCGTAGTTAATAACCTCCGAAACGGCTCTACCGATTTTCGTGAAATTTTGTGTGCATATCGGGTAGGTCTGAGAATCGACCAACATCTATTTTTCATACCCCTAATTTTTTGAAAATCAAATCAATCTAAAACAAATTTTTTTGAAATAATGTATACGGCAAAACAACGTTTGCCGGGTCAGCTAGTATGAAATATAAAAAGATGTGAGCGTCGAAGCCAATTGAGCCGTCGAGCCAATTGAAGTGTCGGAAAACTTGTTACACATTTGGTAAGTGTTCTGTCATTAAAATGCATCGGAGCATAAAGTCTCGATATAGAACATATTAGATTATTGTCATTGTACATGTTGTTTTACAGAAAACATTCTAATACCCTTTTAATGGCTTAAAGAAAGCCTTTCATTTATCCGTCAAAAGGCAATTAATTCTTCCCGGAATCGAAAATGGGTTTAGGGAGTTCGCTCTAAATGGAACCTTTAGTGACAACTCAACTTCTTACTATTTACCACTATCCCAATTAAAACGTGAATAGGCTATTCCACTGTATGTATTTTATTTATCTTCACGATTACTCATTTTCAAAATAACTTTTTTATAGAAAGTTTAGTTTAGTCATGAGGTAGCCCCACTGTCTCAAAGTCAGCATCTGATGATGGGATCCCAGGGAAACCTAGGATGACCCTCAAATTTCATAGCGTGCCTATGTGTTTCATATGTTTACCTATATATCTGACCAGAAAAATGATGTGAAGTAAACTGACACGTAACCACTCAACTGAGGTTTCAACACCATCATCAACAGCTTTTAACATTCCACTCTGCCCCCGATAGTTAAAAAGGCGCATCTAAATTTTTTTCGGATTTTGATTTATATATATTGTCGGAATCAGAAAAAAAGGTGCTTCTGCCGATATTTTTTTGCCTTGATTCATTGAAATTTTTGCACAACAAAATAAGGCGCTTATGCATACTTTTTTATACCTCATTGAAATTGAAAAGACGAATTTATCTAAAACTTAAATAAATATTAGCATTTACATAAATACGCCCATATTCCTTAAGATTTTTTTTTAAGTTCAGTAAACTAAAAGATTCATATTGAACTGCATTTCTAAGACGAAATTAATAAGGTAACCATGGAACCATTTACGCCTAATGTACTAATTTAAAAACTGCTCTCACGCTAAGAAGAAACGTGTAAATCTACTTCTTCGTAAAGTTAGCATTAGCGCATTTGTCATATACGGCTTGATCCATTACGTTGGGAAGAAAACTATCTAAGATACTTTAAAACTATTTTATTGCTTAGTTTAATTATTAGAGGCTTTAAACAGAGAATATAGAGTAGGTAAATCTATTTTCAGGTTAATGAGTCAGATGAAACAATTAATAGATAATTATATGTTTTTTATTCCTAGGATTATCTTTATTGTTTACTTAAGTAAAGAGGCGCATTATACCAAATGCGACTTTTTTCTTAAAACAAAGTACAGGTCTACACACAAATACTTAGTCTAAAAGTACTTCAAAAAGCGTATCTGGCTATTCGCGTCTATTCAAAAAAATGAAACGATTTTTTCTTAGTTTTAATTAAATAACTTAGAAATATTTATATTACTCAACATTATTGATCGTATGGAGATATGGTAGGGCAAAGAGCTGCATGGACGTTGGTGACCAACTGGCGTCTGTATTCTGGGTACGATTTGGTGATCTCTTCTTAGAAACTGAAGGTTTTGTCTTTGCAATTACTGATGAAGTTGTTATGACGAATAATTTTCGGAAGTATATCCTGAAGGACGGCACAATAGACATTTGTCGGGCATTGTCCCAGTGAAAGCCTCAGACATATAAATTCCGGTTGTTCTCTTCTTGCCAACGGCGAGTACTTGCATAGATATAACCAAGTAGCCAGGATAGTCCATCAGCAACTTGCTCTTAAGTATAACCTTGTGTCTGTAGAGTTACCGTACTACAAATATGGGCCCGACCAGGTTCTTGAAAATGGTAGTGCAACGTTGTACTGGGATCGCCCTATTATCACTGACAGAGTCCTGTCAACAATCATTGCTCGATGGTCTAATCAATAGCATTGATTAGAGCGCCAATGATATTGATTAGAGCGTCGAGCAATGAATTCAGATTTGGCCCACGAGATTGTTGACATGTGGGATGTTGATTCGGCAATCATTGTACCGATAGTCATATCGACCCATGGGTTAATTGCTAAGAGCCTCGACCAACATCTTCACAGGCTCGCGTTGGACAGTTGGATTAACGAGTGGGCAGGGCGGCAGCGCAGGACCCTTTCCTTCCGGCTGACACAGGTCCTTTCCGGGCACGGCTGCTTTGGGAAGTACCTGCACTCGGTCGCAAGGAGGGAATTGAGTCCCGCCTGTCACCACTGCGATTGTAGTGAGAACTCGGCTCAGCGCACGCTGGCAATTTGCCCGGCTTGGGTGAATCAGCGCCGGGTCCTCATTGCAGTCAATTGGAGGGATCTCTCGCTACCGGCCGTCATACGCTCCAGGTACGCATACGCGCCGGTAGTGACAGATGTTTCACCATCGCATCCTTCTGCAAAGACGTCATCTTGCAGAAGGAGGCGGCGGAGAGGGCCCGGGAGGACAACCTCCACTCGGTCTCAATCCGGAGGGCGGAGGCGGGCTTACTACCGCCTCATGCCGCCCTGAGTGTGGCCGCGGGTGGACGGAACGGGTTTTCCCCTCCACCCGCCAAAACGGCCAGCCCCAAGGAGGCTACGTCCGCGTGTGTCGGACGTCACCAGCTCACCAACACGAGATGATGACTCATCATCATCAAATATATATTAGAAAATATTTCAAGATCCAAACCTAGTACGCTCTCAATTCCGGAGGGCGTGCGCAGCGAATGAGCATGGAGGAGAGCGCAACCCCATGGCAAGTCTGGGTGTCATCCTTCTCGTGGTTTCAAACAGAGATAACTGAAACACCCAGGCGCAATTCCATTCCATCCCTTCCTATTTTGCTATTTACACCTACTGCGGCCACTAAGTGATTGGTGCTTGCGGCCTCACCATTAACAGAGCTTGAGAGTGAAAGTGGGGAGGGAGCACTCACCCCCATGTGCCCTTAAGGACCCGTAAGGAAGGATTAAGAGATTCTGGTAGTTGAGCTGAAAGGTAACACCCTGCTCTGACCTGGATTTCTTCTGACACGGGAGGCTTAAGGCTAGTGACCTTTGGTCAATCGGCTTTCCTAGTAGGGGGGACGGGGACACTGGGACGACCAAGTCGTTCTACCTGGTGGAGCTCTATATTATATCTTTGTTACTGCTGGCGTTGTATGCCATCTGCCGCGGCATCTGCTGGACAAGGAGATGAATAACTAACCTAACACACAAAGAAACCAAAAAATAAACTAAATTAAAGAACCAACCAAGCCGGCACCGAGATTGAATAACCCAACTGCCAAGCTAGAGCACCAACCAGAGTATGGGGCCGGTGTCGACCATCAATCTCTCTTCTTTGAGGGCAGCAATGCCCGTGCGTGTGGGGCTCAGTCAGGAAGCATCTGGTCCAGACAGACCCGAAATGCCAATAGAGCGAAAGTCCGAGTGGAAGCTAAGTGAGCACGGCGTCTGACCTCGGCTGGTAGTAAGCGGCTTGAAGCTGCTGAAGGGCCCGCAAGGGCCCACGATGCCCCCCGCTAGTGACGCGCTACCCCGAGGCAAAGACAAAAGCCCAGCCATGGAGAAATATACTCCTGCGAGACGAGAAACGAGCTTAATGAGCGAAGCCTGGAGGGCTTTGTGCGAAGCGAGACCCGCCAAAATAACACCAGCACCAGGCAGCTATATATAAATAATATATATATTTTATATGTGTAAGGGACGTCGTAACGAATATTAAAATAGTGTATTCAGAGCATAATTCTGACTCGAAAATGATTGGTATTTTCAATTTTTTGGTTAAAATTATGAAAAAATGATATCAAAATTAGTAAACAGAACATTTTACCGAAAACAATTTAATAAATATGGTCAAAAACTGCAATGTAATTAATCAAACCTCAATACACATGTAGTTATTACTTTTGTGCTATACCTACGGGGAATGACCTAAATCTTTGACAGCTGATTGCTTAAAAAGTTAATTTTTCCGACAGAAAATTTCAATTATTTTTGATTCAGAATGATGGTCTGAAGACACTATACCTTTTGCTGTTGAAAGTGTTAGCCGACTCTCTAACAGGGTGGAGGATACTTGCTTGGCACG